CATTTTCTCATTTAATATTTTAATATATCTAATCAATTATGCAACCATGCCTGATTTTCTCTTTCCACAGGTTCACTTTACATCAACATCATGGTGAACCATCTGCTTTTCCATGGCCAACACCAGAGCTTTTTGCAGCGACTGTATCGTGGCCTGGAGACAACCCTATCTTTCCAGCTCAAGAAGAAACTCTAGAAGATCATGTATCACATCCAGATGAAGGAGCCAATGAGGACATTGACGATCATCAAGAGGGAGATGTACAACAACATCAAAACTTAGAGGAAGAAGGGAGACATGATGAGGAAGATGGGCCACAACCAATGCAAGAAGAGGACAATATAGGAGACCCATGATTAGAATTATGATTTTATTGTAATGGATATCAATGACTAAACATTTTCTGTTATGTAATACATTTTCTCTTTACTTTTCCAATGCCGAATTCTATACTTTTTCATTGATGAATTTTAATATTTATTCACAATCGTGCCAAAGTCATTATAAATTGTTTTTGGTGGAAGATGTATGTTGAAGAACAGATGTAATCCAGTGTGATTAGCCCCCTTGCATGCTGTCTGTTACTGCAAAATGTTTGCATTTTCTTATTTATTTGCTTAAGCCCATGAAATCGCTTAAGCGAATCTAGATACGCTGGAAAATTAAATTTTTGGCTCAAGCCTTGCCACCATTCGCTTAAGCCACTTAATCTTTGCTTAAGCCATTTTGTTACATACTGTCTATGTCTGCATAATTTTTTCAACTTCTGATATATTCGCTTAAGCTCACATATTCGCTTAAGCGAATCTGTATTCGTTGAAAAATTCAAATCTGGGCTCAAGCCCTGCAAGTATTCGCTTAAGTCAATTTAAATTCGCTTAAGCTATTTTCTATGTTTGAATCATTGCTCTCTGCCTGAAAATTGCTTAATATTAATTAAAATCACTTGTCAGGGCTTAAGCTAATTTATAATCGCTTAAGCAATTTAGGTTCCGCTTAAGCGAAAAGAGTGCTTGAACCACATGTCTCTCTGGTCCATTTTCGCTTAGGTTTAATTATTTTTGCTTGGAAGGGTTTAAGCTAAATTAAAATCGCTTAAGCGAAAGTAGGGGCTTAAGCGAGACATGATTTTGCTTTCTTGTGACTCGCTTGGGCGCGCTGTCAAGCCCTTTCTCTATTCGCTTAAGCCTTCTTCCAAGCTTAAGCAAAATTGATTCAAATTCGCTTAAGTAAATTTTGTCGCTTAAGCGAAAACGCACTGCGCTCCCTGCTTCGCCAACACTGCAGAGGATCCGGATCCGTTATTGCATGATAACTCTCCACTTCTCAAATTAAAGAGAAACACACAGTCATGGACCCAGTGGCGGGGCTTTTAAGTGACAGCGGAGCAGTTGCTCCCCCAATTTATTTATTTTTTAATATGTCTATTATACATTTCACTTATTTTTTTTAATTTTTTAAATATTTAAATTAAGTTTCCTATCTTAATTTTTTTAATTATTTTAAATCGTTATAGTTTTATATTTTCATATTATTTGATGTATTATATAATTATATTAATATACATTTTTAATTATAACTTAAATTAAGTAATTGTAAATTAGTGTTTTTGCAAAATTAATGATAATATGATTTTTAAATATATTGTTTACAACATACAACCGTAAACAAGTTAATAACATTTTGGAAATACATTTGATTAATAAATTATTCCTTTTTTCTGACTATCTCATTTAAATATCGGAAAAACATAAGCAGGGATAAAGTTTTTTAACAAAAGAATTACATTATTTATTAACTATATACTTTAATTGTATGTGACAAAAAGGCCAATTAATGACATATTACTCGGGTCAAAAGAAGGAAGGGAAAACTGGGTTTAGATCAAGAGACACCTCAATCATGGAGGTGGTTAAATTGTTAAAATGAAAATGATATTTGAATATGCATTTTGTAGAGTTAAACGAGTAAGGTAATAAAAAATTATAATTATAATAAAAAGGAGAAGAAAAAAATATATAAAATGTTGATAAAACTTATGCAAGCTGCTGTAACAGATCTTACGCAGGCACAGAAAATGAGAAAGGAAAGTGAGGCGGGACTGCACTTAAGAAAAAATCACTTCATTTTTTTATTCTTTAATTTGTGCGAATTCGAATGTTATTTATCTAATTTATTTTCTTATACGGTAAAATTTACCTCTATGAAAATTGAACATTTTATTTTGTTTTTTTTATAACATAATTTACGTAAATGCTTTCATTTTTACATTAATTCACAGATAAATCGTTATTAAATAAAAATGTTGCTCTGTTAACGAATAAATATTAGATTATTTAAAAAGATTTGTAAATAGTTCACAAAAATAATATATATTATAAAAATTTATCATTAAATTTGCATATTGTATAATTTTTTAAACAACAAGAGTTTATTAAAAAAATTTACATATAATCATTTGGGCTGGGCGGTTTAATGGATTAATTGAGAAATTGGTAAGACTGAAGTGCATATGGAGCAAAACTTTTTACTGTTATAATCACATTCACATGGTTGGTTGTGGAACGGAAGTGTGAACGGGTTATACATGTTCTTAAAATTTTAACCGTGCACGTGTTTCGATGGGATATTTGCTGGACGATTCACGATGCTCACGCAAAACCAAGTTGTTGGCACCGTGAACGCTGCTGTCAACTCCATTTCGTTTTTAATCCCAACGTACAAACTCATCGCCGTGATCACTGGGTCTATTTTACGTGATATAGGGTTTTGCTTATTCTTTTTAATTAATTTTTTTAATTTAATTTAATTTGAATCTGACTGAAATTGTAAATTTGGATGTGATGAACGAGTCTAATTCTAAAGATTTTTCACATACATAATAACTCAAATTCAATAATTTACTTAAACAATACCTGTCACACCTAATTTTTGCCACTCGGATTAATATAAAAATATTTTCCTTTTCTAAAATGGTAGTGTATATATATAAAGCTAATAAAAATCTATTGCATATAAATATGTAATCATGTACAGATTAAAATAATGAATAAAGTAAATAGCCCACGTTGAAGAAGTTAGATATGCTCCCACATTAAAGTTATTTAAAAACATTTGGTAGGTCCGAAATAAGAGGCAAAAAGGGCCAATATCATCTCCCTTATAGTGGGATTCAAGCAGGCCAAGTTCTGTTGTGGTCAACAGATAACCAATTCCGCTGCCGTAGACCATGCAATTCCTTCCGCAAACAACGGCATGAAATGAAGTCCAATATATGCATTATCTTTGGTATAAATTACATTATCAACGAAATTTAGCAACAAACTCGAATAGTTTTGTATGATATGCCATTTGGTTAATTTTTGTTTGTATAACTTTTTTCAACAGAAATTAAATTATTGGTAGAAACTAAAGTTGTTTATTGTATTAGACCTACATGATAAATCGAATCAAACTAACCCAAATCAAATCAATTCCTTCATGATCGTCGCTCATTCTCAAGAATTGGATAATTTTTTTTCTCCCTTTTACCATTATACTCTAATTGAAACTCTATGCTCAAGGACTTTTCATTTATTAACTTTATAATGATGAATTTGTGTATTTTTTTTTCAGATTTATGGACTTCTTTTTATATATCTTTAATAAAAGTTTAATTAAGACATATTAATAATATATAAATTTTTTATATCATTATTCAATCATGAATTAAGATATCAGAAAAATTATTCTTTGTATAATAATTAACTTACAGATTATATTCATTACATATTTTAATTCATTAATAATATAAATAATTTTTTATTAATAATGCATCAGAATTTTTATACATATTTAGTATAATTAATATGTCATACCTTTAGTGTATGTATAGACTTGACTAATAATATTTTTTCTTTTTGGTGCTATGACCATATATGAGTGACTTCTATAGCATTGACTGCCAGGAAACAAGTACACAAACAATTTAAAAGATCAAACATTCGATTAGTCACAGGTTCACCAAGCAAATGGACAAACATGTTGAGATTTTTTAAATAATTTTGTTCTTATATTTGCCGTATAGCCCGGGTTAAAATTTCTCGTAATATCAGTTTAATTCATTTCACTAGCACAAGAAGTCGAAAATAAGTAATACAGCAAAAATATATTTTATTTATCACGATAAAAAAAGACATTAACGTGACTGAAAAAACTCAAAATGTAATTTTCAACGTGATGACATTATCTATGGGACCCAGTCAGAAGCAATGGCAAAGTTTTGAATTAGCGTGACGGAAAGATGGATGGAAGGAGCAGTGGATTGTGGAGAGGGTCCGCCACTAATGGCGGTAATGGTTGACCACTATTGACACTTAATTCTTTCAGAATCACCATTCTATTATGCATCTGTGTCGCACGAAATTAAGAGGTATTCTCACACATTTTGGATGTAGAGCTATATTTCTTGCTCAAGCTTAATAGCCATTAGCACAAAGTTTAATGTGTTTTGAATTTTACAATATATCCGTTCACATGAAATTACTTAACTTGTCAACTAGGACATATGGAACCTAAATGTTATTTCATTTTGTTTTTTTTTTCTTATGCTTCATTTCTTTGATTGAATAATAAAAATTTAAAATACTGGCAACTAAAAACAAAGTAGTGTCATTTAAAAAGAAACGTACAAATTAAGCATATTTGAATCCTAAGACACATGCATTAGAGGGTATAACGTGTAATTAATTACAGAGATATTTTCTCTTACATTTAATTTGTATTCTTCTCTTGACTCCACTGACCCTCACACCCAAACGAAGAATGTCAACGTGTAATTATTCTAGAGGGCCTCTCAAGTTTTATAACATTTAGAGTTCTTTTCGTCAGGTCCTTGCCATTCACGTTGAAAATTAGTATACATTTTTCCTCCGTTTGTGCCAAACCCCATGATTCCCGTGGAAAAACCCACTATAAATACATGGGCCATCAAGCCTCACAATATTCCTCCAAGCACAAGAACACAGTTATCACCCAAAATCCCCAGCTAGTTTCGCCACGCTTGCATCTTCTTCTGATTTAAGCTATGGCCTCTAACTTCAGCTTGAGGACTTTGATGATATTTGCCCTTGCATTCTCTCTCGCCCTGCAAGGCACTCTTGGTAAGTCTCCAATACCGATCAACCTCGAAATGCCTTAACTGCCATATATATATACTTTTAAGTGCCTTCAGATAAATAGTTTGGTTAAGTAATTGTTTTATAACTTTCTTTTATCACACAAGAAGTTATGATATAAATTTGATCATAAAAATTATTGAAATAAGTTCAATGAATATTTTTCACATGTGAGGTGATCATTCGATGAATATTTAAAAACTAAACCACTGCTATATACTAAATGTTGTAATGAGGAAATGCAGGGGCGATAGAATGTGAGGATCTGAAGCATGACACGTGCTCATTCGCGGTGTCATCAGCTGGGAAACGGTGTGTGCTTGAGAAGCATGTGAAGAGGAGTGGTGAGGAAGCGTACACATGCAAGACATCAGAGATTGATGCTGATAAACTGAAGGACCACATTGAAACCAATGAATGCATCAAGGCTTGTGGGTTGGAAAGAAAGTGCCTCGGAATCTCTTCAGACTCTCTTCTTGAATCTCGCTTCACACAAAAACTCTGCTCCCCTCAGTGTTACCAGAATTGCCCAAACGTTGTTGACTTATACTTCAATCTCGCAGCTGGTGAAGGTACACTACACACCTATACATGTTATATTTCTCAAGTAATAATTTTGAGCATTGAAAAAATAAAGTAATAATTTTTTAAAAATAATTGTTTCAAAACGTGTATTAAAATGGAGACATACTTCACATTTCTCCTTTTACGACGCCAAAATTAATGTCTAAGCTTTTTGAGCATTTTTTTTCATTTTGGGTGTAGGTGTGTTTCTTCCGAAGCTATGTGAAGTACAAGGTGCAAATGCTCGTCGAGGAATGGCTGAACTGAGAAGCTCTGGTATAGTGGCACCAGGACCAGTGCACTCTGTGCAGTTCGAAGCTTCTGCACCAATTAACCCAGTGGAGTTCACAATTGAACCCGCGGCTGCCCCGTCATTCCCACCATACTAAGATTTAGGAATTTTATAGCACACAAAGATCACATTGAGAGTGGCATATATTAAACAACTAAATATATTAAACAAATTGAGTGTGGCATACTACATCTTGTTTGTAATAATGAAGTTGCACCTAGATAGGAGTTTTGCACTGTAAGATCGCTATATAGTTTGTTGTACACTACGGGCCTGCAAGTATTCGCACATTATAATAAGGTGTAGCTTTCACTATATTATCAACTATAGATACAAATCAGCTTGCTATGCATCTCTTTTTCAGAAAATTTACAACAATACTCACTAACGACTTCTCAATGCAAATTCAATAAATAAATACTATACGCTTTAGCGTTAAGCGAATAAAGTTGAAAGAGGAAAAGTATCATTGAAAAAAAAAACCTGTGAACTTGTATAACGCTTAATTACTTAATTACAAGGGTAGTTGGAGGTTGGGGGAACTCGTTTCACAATTTTCAAACTATTGTTGTATGATCAATTAAACAAATATTCATTGGTTTAAGTTATAAAATTTTTAATTGTACTATTCAATAATATTTTTTTATAATACTGTTTATTTGTTTATTATTATATATCTTTCTCTATTATATTAACTATATTAATTTTTCGTAGAAAGTATACAATTAGGTAACAATAAATCACTACTGTCGTATTAATATATAGTTTACTACTAGACAAAAAAACGTACGTGGGAAATCATTAAAAGAAAACTATGATTTAGACATTATCATTATATTTCTTTTACATGAAGAAAGTGAAAAGTAGAAAACACCAAACATTTTTTTAACATAATTTTTTTTGAAAAACAGTATATCTTAAATTAAGGTATAAAGAAAGTCTCCGAACATAAAAAAAAAAAAAAAACACATATAGATCCAAGACTTATATTTACATAACTCAAGAGAAACAAGTAGTAGCTTTAATTTAGGACTTTTAGATATAAAATTATGTTTTAATATATTAATTTAACTATTTTTTAAATTTGAGAACAACATATTTATTTTTATTTTTAAAAAAGTAAATTTACGATATATATTAATGTAAATTAACAATAAATTCACTCATATGTTTTACATTATACGGTCTTTTAACTTTAAGCAAATCAATTTTACGCAATTTATTATTTATAGAACTTAACTCTTTGAAACATTAAAGACCCATTAATGTTAACAACTCAATTCCTTGGTCTGCCCTCGTTGAAACTTGTTCACTTTATAATCAGTCCCTCTTTTTCTTTTACTCCCTTTCTTCAATATAAATTTCTACAATGACTCGATTCCTTCTTAGCCAAACGGGCCAAACCTATCTATTACGAACCCAATACCCTATCAAATCCATGTCCAAGTTATACAATATATTATCAAATAAATTTGTATAAAATATTTAAATTAAAAAAAAAACATTTTCTCTCAAGGTTTTATGAAATCCTATCCTCATTATTGTACTGCACAATTGCACGAAACGAAAAGATGACTGGATTTGTGCTATGTCCAACTGATAACGTGAGACGCCTATGGTGTGTTTTAAATGTATTTCAAAAAAGTTATAAATTAATTTTGAAAATGGAATTAATAAATAATTCAAAATTTTAATCAATTTTGAACTTCATAAAATAAAATTTGTTATTTTTCATGGTAAAAATAAAATAAATGGCATTCCATATAATAATAATAATAATAATAAAAATTCCATTACAATGTAGAGACTAATTTAAGAATTTAATGAACGTTATGCGGTCTCACGTATCACCACATGCCACGTTCACAAAATAGCATCCCTTTATGTCTCACACCCTCACGTTACTTATGGTTATGCACCAGATCGAATCGCAACCTTACCAACACCACAATGCAAGCTCCAACCACACTCACGGGATTGCTCCGTCACATCGCCGGAATATTCCCTTCCCGGCGAGCCGTCTCTGTCTCTGGCAATTTTGACCTCACCCACTCTCGTCTCCACCACCTCGTCGAACGCGCCGCCACACGCTTACTCTCCGCCGGCATCAAACCCGGCGATGTCGTCGCCCTCACTTTCCACACCACCGTCAAAGTCATCTCTCTCTCTCCAAATCCATTTTCCTCTTACTGTTTCATTGCCAACAAAAAAGCAAATAAATTAATTAATCATGATTTTATTCATTATGTATTATTTGAGATTTCTAATTTACTATTTGATGTTCTCAGTTTATAATAATGCTTTTGGGAGTGATTCGAGCACGAGCCACGGCGGCACCATTGAACGCAGCCTACACGGCGGAAGAGTTCGAGTTCTATTTGTCCGACTCAGAGTCAAAGCTGTTACTAACCTCAAGAGGAGGGAATGAACCGGCTCAAACCGCGGCTTCGAAGCTGAGTATCCCGCACGCCACGGCTTGGCTCGCAGAACCCGATGCAACGGAAGTGAGTCTCTCGCTAAGCCAGACCGAGTCAGAGACTGACTCAGTTGCCGCACTCACTAACGACCCGTCCGACGTGGCACTCTTCCTTCACACCTCCGGCACCACGAGCCGCCCCAAGGGAGTGCCGTTGACGCAGCACAACTTGGCCTCTTCGGTGGAGAACATAAAGTCCGTGTACAGACTCACTGAGTCAGATTCGACCGTGATCGTTCTCCCCTTGTTCCACGTTCACGGTTTGCTTGCCGCGTTACTGAGTTCACTCGCCGCCGGCGCGGCCGTGGCACTCCCGGCGGCGGGCGGTTCTCCGCTTCGACGTTTTGGTCTGACATGTTGAGGTATAACGCGACGTGGTATACGGCGGTTCCTACCATACACCAAATAATATTGGATCGCCACTTAAAAAACCCGGAACCCGTTTACCCGAAACTTCGGTTTATTCGAAGCTGTAGTGCGTCGCTTGCTCCGGTTATATTGGAGCGGTTGGAAGAGGCATTTGGAGCTCCGGTTTTGGAGGCCTATGCTATGACAGAGGCTTCCCATTTGATGTCTTCAAACCCGTTACCGGAAGATGGGCCGCATAAGGCCGGGTCGGTTGGGAAACCCGTAGGTCAAGAAATGGCTGTATTGGATGAGAAGGGCGAGGTTCAAATGGTGGAAGTGAAAGGTGAGGTTTGTGTTAGGGGAGCCAACGTGACAAATGGGTATAAAAATAATTCTGATGCTAACGATGCCGCGTTTCAATTTGGGTGGTTTCATACGGGCGATCTGGGGTTCTTTGATTCGGACGGGTATTTGCATCTCGCGGGTCGAATCAAGGAGCTTATTAACCGGGGAGGTATATTTATATCTCTTTCTTTCTTTTTTCCAAATCTCTTATTTTTCTTTTTAATTTTTTATCTCTCTCTTTCTTCAACTCTTATACTAAAAAAATGGACTGTACATTGATACTATCCTTTTATTATGATTGTTTCAAGAAAGAATAGCTTTATGTGGTGTATTTGTATTGAAAACGTAAAACGTACATTTGGAAGTTCTTGGCAAATGTTGGTTGTACGACTCAAAGCAATCTTAATTGTTTATTTTGTCAGCTTGTAAAACTGGCGAATCAATTTCATAACTATATACTATGATTGTTTGTTATTTTTATTTATGTCATCTCTTTTTAAAAAATACTATAACCAAAATTAGAGTTTTGGTAGGCATAATAGAAAGCAAAATAACAATGAAGATGGTCGTAAAGCATCTGAGTTGTCTACGAAATATCGCTTACATTGACTTTCCTTTTACATATATATTATCAAATCATCGTGTTTTATAAGTAGGACCTTTGTTTTCAGGGGAGAAAATATCACCAATAGAGGTGGATGCTGTCCTTCTATCTCATCCAGACATTGCTCAAGCAATTGCATTTGGAGTGCCAGATGACAAATATGGTGAAGAGGTACGTCTTTTTAGAGAATTTAAGCTCTTATGAGATTAATTTAGAGATTATAATATATTTTAAATTAAATTGAAATCAATACGCTTGATTGTTTATTTTAGAATATATTCATTTTAGAATAATTATGTTCTGCAATTTTTTTCCAAGTTTCCTCATCCTTCACTATGCTCTCGTTTTTTCTCTCTTTTTTATATCGCACACCGGTGTCAATAAATCTTTCAAATAATGAAAGGTCGTAAACTCATAAAAAGAAACTGTTTCTTAGACATTTCAGAAGATGTTCACACTCTGAAAGAAATTAAAAGGAAGAAAATGATGGATATAATAAAAATTGTTAAATAAGATATTGTTGGAGTGTTTATAAATAAGAATTGTTATACATAAATCCAATTATTAATTACTTACGTGCATATATACATTATTAAGTCCATATAAGAGTTGACGCACAGATATTTGCATTGATAGGTAATTAACTAATAAATGAATGATCTCCTGTGATTGACATGAATGAGGTCATACAGAACCTGTAAGCCCAATAGAACGTATGTATGGTCCTACCATGAAGGTAACCCCAAGATCAACTTGGTTTGCCCACAACGATTTGTTGTATATATGAAAACAAACCATGGCATCATCTTAGGATAGGGAAAATTTTTCAATCTTATATATATAATAACTACATTTTTTCATGATTTAAAATAATTTGAATTGAAAAAAAAATACTAGATATAAAAAAGTTAAATTTAACCAAAAAGATACTACAAGAACATATAGAAAGATTACTCAGGCCAAATCAATTGCCTCGCGAATGAAAAGATATATCAGAAATATGGGGGCTCCCTGGATGCTGCATTTGTTGGTTTGTTGAAAATTTGTATTGAATTATTGATCACATTATCTTCATTTTGACAGATAAATTGTGCAATCATCCCAAGAGAAGGATCAAACATTGATGAGGCAGAGGTGCAAAGATTTAGCAAGAAGAACCTTGCAACCTTCAAAGTCCCCAAAAGGGTCTTCATTACATATTCTTTGCCCAAGACCGCTACTGGCAAGATTCTAAGGCGTCTTGTAGCAGCACATTTCGTTTCTCAAACACAAACAGCTGAATCCTCTGCAGCCTAAATAGCTCGCCAACAAAGATTTAATTATTATTGTAACTATTTGTCATCTTATGGCAAGTCTGATGTTCCTTCAAAACAAAGATTAAAGAATAGTTTTGTATGAAAAATAAAATTGTATAATCATCCATAGATTTTTCATCCCTAATCTCATGAGGTTGTCAAACTCAAGAAGATAAAAGGCCAAATTTTGAAAACTAACAAAGAATTCATTCCCAATGGATTGAACTTGGAGCCCGATTCTCTAATTCTCTAATTATAATCTATTATTTTGGTTCTATCATAAAAGTTTGGGTGCCTAAATGTTTAACGTTGTAATTCCGTACTAAGGAATTGAAAGATTTTAGCTTGCTTTGTCACGACCCTTTTTCTAAGTTGTTCATGTTTTTTCTTTTCTAAGTTTTAAATTATATTATTTTAAAACATTTTATTTTGATAAAGTAATAAATTTAGTTTATTTATAAGTTTCTTTATTTTAAAATATTTTTTAAATAAGGTAATTAAATTTTTTTATTTAACATTCTGTATTTTAAAAACTTTTATTAAGATATATTAATTAAATTACTTTCAGTTATAAAGTTAAAAAAAAAAAGAAATAATTAAAAGTAAAATTACATATTAAACTAAGTAATTTTCTAAATTAAAAGTATAAGAAAGCTTTGTTGGTTTTATTTGGTATTGTAGTGTCGATTTATTTTGTTGTACCTAATTTTTACTAGTCCTTTTTTTAGTATTTCAATAGCTATTTTTTGCTTCAGAAAGAGACAGCGATAGAATAAGTTTCAGAGAGAAAGAAATAACAACACAAAAATTCAAGAAGAAACCAAGCCAGAAAGGGGAAGAAGAAACTCAGAGAGATAGGCGAGCAAACTCATAGAATTTCAAATTTTCACTATTTTAATAAAATTATGATTTCTTTGTTTCTAGTTTATTAAAATTTCTAAAATTTTAAAGAATTTAAAATTTAAAATTAAAAAAATTAATACATAAAAGTTTAAATTCTTATAAAATTTGAATTACTCATTTCAAATATTTCATTCAAGCATTCCAAAGCCTTTTAAAATAAACATGTTAAAAGATAGAAAAACTTGTCACATTTCACTAATTTCTCAAAGTAATTTAATAAAATTATTAAAATTGAGTTTGAATAATTGGTAATAATATTTATTAAAAATTGTGTATTACACTTTTATAATTTTAATAGAATAAATATATTTTAAAAAAATAAAAATTACTATAGTTAAATTTAATTTAAACGCTGAACTTAACAAAAACTTAATTTAATTAGACACATTTTATCGCAAATATGGATACATTGTACTACTCACATATCCGACGCAAAATGCCGAATTTCTCTTCTTTTTAAGCGTCATTCCCGTTATTTTAAAAACTGCGTCGGTAGATTAAGAAAATAAAAGATATATTTTTTTCTAAGAAAAGTTTATCTCAATTAAACAAGTAAAAGTGTCTTAAAATCGCAAAATATGTTGATATTTGAGCATACTGTAGGAGAGATTATGTTAAAGTTCCCTACTTTTCATTATAAGTCTTCGGAGGCTGAATTAAGCACCGGAACTCAGTCCTTTGAACTGTGATATAGGTCGATGTATCTGGCCCAGGAATTAGAATACTTAATTAAGCATAGGCACTAAAAACTCCGTACTATAGAATGCACCATGTTTCGGTACTTCTGTCCGCTAAACTGAAAAAGAAAATTACAAAAAACTAGTCGTTATAGTATATATATATATATAGTCCATGAATTAAACGTAGTAGCGACCAAAAACAAAAATTAGCTAAACAACAAATATGCATGTGATATCTAGTGAAAATGATTTGGGTGAGAAAATATATGCCAAAATTTTGTCCTCTCCAACCTAATAAAAATCGTGGTACCCGCAATAATCTGTCAATATTTGTCCACATTGTAAGCAATTGTCAAAGTACAATAGTTTGTTAAGTAATGAATTTAAATATTTATAAAAAATTACAAAAAAATTATACATCTATTATATTAAATTATAAAAATATAATAAATATATTATTACATTGAAATTATAAAAATATATTCACCGATTATACTCAGCTCTCACAGGTTAACAAAATGGACAAAGGAACCGCCCGGAGGCAGAAGACCCGAACGATGAAATCCTACTAACAAGGACCGAAATTTTATTAATCCAACTACGTCGACTTACTGAACATTACCTAGGAAATAAAATTCAAAATCTACTTCAGCTTTCCGAATATTGAAATCCAAAAAGATACGGCATTTTAAATATACAGAAGATCATCGGTAACAAACAAATCGTATAAAAAATTGGCAGTTCAAAATGGCTTGTGTAACCCCTATTTGTTCGCTATCTAGTTAACAATTTTTTTATCCACCCTTAATTGGCACAATACATAAGTGCAACAGAACACTAGGATTTTGAACTTGTGTAACCCCCATTCAATCGAAAATATGAATAATGATATCCAAATATTGCAAGAATATATATCAACTAGGCTTCAATCTTTTAGAGATTATAAAAGAGCACCATTTAACAAAAACGAAAATATGCAGAAAAATAAAGCCCTAAACTACCATATTATAGCCCACAAACACAGACGGCGGCGCCCAAAAACAATCCAAAACCCCGAAAAAGGTATTCAGGTTGAGGAGGGAAAAAGACAACTTGACAACATTGACCAAGTATCACAACAAACACAAACAAAAACACCCTCCAAAACACTACTGTTTAAGAATCCTCCTCCGGAACATCCTCATCTTCATAGTCATAGCCATCATCATCTGCAGTTGCATCTTGGTATTGCTGGTACTCCGAGACAAGGTCATTCATGTTGCTTTCAGCCTCAGTAAACTCCATCTCATCCATGCCCTCCCCAGTGTACCAATGCAAGAAAGCTTTTCTACGGAACATAGCGGTGAATTGTTCACTAACTCTGCGGAACATCTCTTGAATAGACGTAGAGTTGCCAATGAAGGTGGAAGCCATTTTTAGACCAGTTGGTGGAATATCACAGACAGTAGATTTGACATTGTTTGGGATCCACTCAACAAAGTACGAGGAATTCTTGTTCTGAACATTAATCATCTGCTCATCAACCTCCTTGGTGCTCATCTTACCACGGAACATGGCAGATGCTGTCAAATAACGACCGTGGCGAGGATCCGCTGCACACATCATGTTCTTGGCGTCCCACATTTGTTGGGTCAATTCAGGTACAGTGAGTGCCCTGTACTGCTGTGATCCACGGGAAGTGAGAGGGGCAAACCCCACCATGAAGAAATGCAAACGAGGGAAGGGAATGAGATTCACAGCCAGTTTGCGAAGATCTGAGTTGAGTTGACCAGGGAATCGAAGACAACATGTTACACCACTCATTGTGGCTGAAATTAGATGGTTCAGATCTCCAACTGTGACAAAACAATAACAATAACAAATGCCCAAAATCAGTAAAGAAGCAGAGAATGGTGAAACTTTATAAGTAACAAGAAGCAGAGCATAAAAAATTATAACAGATGGAAACTTTCAACGAACTCACAGCTTGGAGTGGTGAGCTTAAGGGTACGGAAACAGATATCATACAAAGCTTCGTTATCCAAAACCATGCATTCATCCGCATTCTCAACAAGCTGGTGTACTGATAGTGTTGCATTGTAAGGTTCAACAACAGTGTCAGACACCTTAGGAGAGGGAAACACAGAGAACGTAAGCATCATTCGATCGGGGTATTCTTCCCTGATTTTGGATATTAAAAGTGTTCCCATTCCAGAACCAGTTCCACCACCGAGGGAGTGGCAAACCTGAAACCCTGAAAACATAAGCGGAAAAAAATTTGTTCAGCTCTATAATATGAACAAAACAAAGAACAATCACACAACACAATTCTTCATGTACAAATCACCAAATCAAAAGTTGACCACCGACATACATGACAGAACACACATCTCACCATTTTTATTTTCGGTCAATTTATTTCAAACTACAGAACACGAAAAAAAAAAGCGATAACAAAATCCCACGCAATTGCACAATTAACTGAGTTAGATATGAATACACTTAAAATCAGCATACACAAACGCTTAGTAATCCAGATCAGTATTCTATCATACACACTTCAGCTTCACTCCTTCGTCTTACCACTACAACATTCACAATCAGATGCCAAACGTTATCACTGAAAAGCACATTAACATCCACCGGAAAAAAAAGTGTTGGAAAAACAAATCTGTATAGGAAAAAACGCAAGAAATTTCAGAAAAGAAAAATTATCTTCAGGTGGAAAAAAAAACATGAGTCGAAAAAATTACAAAAACCCTAAAAATAGTTGAAATGAGAAAATGAAGCAAAGAATACCTTGAAGGCAGTCACAATTTTCTGCCTCCTTCCTAACAACATCGAGAACCGAGTCAATCAACTCAGCGCCCTCAGTGTAGTGCCCCTTCGCCCAGTTGTTACCGGCTCCGGACTGTCCAAAAACGAAGTTATCTGGCCGGAAAATTTGTCCGTAAGGACCAGATCTGACGCTATCCATGGTTCCTGGCTCCAGATCCATCAGTACCGCCCTGGGAACGAATCGCCCGCAACTCGCTTCATTGTAGTACACGTTGACGCGCTCGAGTTGCAACTCGTTGTCCCCTTGGTACCTTCCCGTTGAGTCGATTCCGTGCTCCGCGCACACCACCTCCCAGAACTTGGCTCCGATTTGGTTCCCGCATTGCCCTCCCTGAATGTGAAGAATCTCACGCATTTTCGCGACTGAGTTCGAGGAACGAGTTCTAGAGAGAGAAAAGGACGAAGGAACGAAGTAGAGAGCGAAGCGCAGAAAATGATGTTAACCCTCGTCTGTGAAATGAAACAAGAAGAAGAAGTGTTTTATAGGTGGGATATAACGGATTTGTGACGGCGTTAAGTTTGGCTCAGTAATTAACGGGGAATTTGACGGTGCCGTTGGATTTAAGGGGGAATTTAAATTTTGAAAAGCGAACGGAAATTTTTGAATCTGCTGAGGGAGTTATTTTGTGCATTCAGGCTTAGTTGTTCTCTGTATTACTTGCCGTTTATTTTATAAGATGCGTTGGAGGATGTGCATCCTCTGACACGCTTCAGTTCGAGACGTGAGACGTTTTAGAGCGGAACGGTGACGCTCCTTGTTGGCGAGTGTAATTACGCGCGTGTTGCATATGGGATTTTTTTTTTCATTTTTCGGCTTTGGGCCACACAGCACATGAAAAGCTGGCAACTGTTTCACGTGATTGCGGACTGGGTCATGTGACCTCCACTTCTTCTAGCCTTCTACCAAAAGCATCTCTGGATGGAAAGCACATCCACTTCCACCCTTCACTCCTTCACCTTCAAGAGTTGTCTGCAATTTTATTTTTTCTTTTTCGTTTAATTTCAATTGTTTACTTGCTGATCAAGTGAACAATCTTTTTCACTTTCAAAAATGCCAGTGGTTTTCTTTAAATTACGAAATCAAATCAATATCTACTTGAATACCAAAAGCGGAGGAGTTACTATTACTATTTTATTTTTAATATACGATCCAAAACCAAGCTAAATTGTTTTGGTGCTATCAAGAATCAGTGGCTCATTAAAATTGATGTGTCATTTCAACGAAACTGTACTTTCATGTCTTCTTCCATCCTTAAACCTGAATTTTGGACTAGCATTGGACCCATGACACACTCGAGTTATAAACCGATGCCCATAATGAACCATATTTGGATATGCATGCATACTTTCTAATATAGTCCGTGTTTCCTCTGATTCCAGCTATCATCAATATGGCAGTTAGTGTACTCAAAGTTCCACCAGGGTGTGCAAACTTTTCTTTCACTCTAGCCAAAGATTGATGGTGGACCCATTAAGAAAACCATAAAACATGTAGGGTCCTTCTTCCATGGATAAGAATGGAAGCAAAGAAGTCATCCAAGAGTAACATTTTGTGAGAGCAGAGGTAGTCATCACCAAACCCTTCACGACAAAGTTACGACCTTTTTCATTCTTTTTTTTTTTAATGGATCCAATGCCCAACTATAAAATAATCATTAGAGGATGAAGTTGGAGAGTGGTTTATTACTTTATGCTACTAAATTGCTTAATTAAGTCTCATTTGTTGTAAATAACTCTATAATTATCTTTGCCACAAACATGTGAAAGCAAAGGCAATGAATGAATGACCCAGACATTAATTTGGGAATCTGGTTGCACTTTCTCATCAACAGGTAAGTGACATAATAACTTATTATACACATCTATATCACTGTAGAACAAAAAAGTTTTCCTCTATGCTGGAATAACAAGCAATGTTTGGACATGAACTTTCCAATTATGGAATATGGGCTGTGTGCCTTAATTCCTAAATCTAATCCTGGGTTCGGCTAAGGCCTTGCATTATATTGTAACTTATTAAATTGACTATAACAAGCTTTTTTTACCTTGTTTTCTGTGGACACCCTCCTACCCAAGGAGTTTATATATAGTTCCAGTCCTCCCTCCTTATTTTTTTAAGGAGATAAAAATTGTATTTTTTTTCCTTCTTAATTAAGTGTCCAAATGATTTTTTTTTAATTAACATTAAACACGGTAGAATATTCATAATTCATCGTCAAATTAACATTCTATTAATTGAACTTTTAAAATTAAAATTTTAAAGATCATAATTTATGAAGGTATAATTCACACATGCTTATGTTATATAAACAACTAAAAATTGACCGGAATTTTATATATTTTTTAGAAACAATATTTTTATTCAATTTTATCCTTTAACTTTATTTTAATATTTTAATTTTAAAAATTATTTTAAATAAAATATTTTTTAACTCTATTAATATTTTTTATTTGTTTTCTACTATTAGTACTGTTTATATATTACTGATCTTATCTTAAAATATTTTATTTCAATCTCATCTCTTTTTTCTCTTCATTTTTTTTTATGTTTTTCTTTACCTTAGACTTTTAACACCGTTATTCTCAACATTGTCGCTTCTTCTTCTTCTTTTTCCACCATTATTATACTCTTCCTTTTCATAAATGATTTTAGGTGAATAAATTTTTATTTTATATTTTTAATAAAAAAAATTATTTTTTTATTATTTTTTTTATAAAATTGATCAGTAAGCAGTCATTTTAAATTATATTTTAATTAACAAATCACCTGTGATTAGAATATATACAAAAGTTTAGATATTCACAAGAAAGACAATTAAAATTATATCACCGATGATTTTATTAAAAATTAAGTTTATATACCACTTTTAAAGCATAGAAAAATTAAGATAAAGTTAACTTATTAGTTTCCACCGTTTTAAAAATTTAATTATGTTTTTATAATTTAATTTTAAATTTTCTAATTAAATTATTATTATTTAATATTGTTAAATATTTATAAATATTGCAGAACGTGTACATTAACTGACAGATAATTATTATAACTTAATATGTTATTTTAAATGCAGTTGTGTTAAATAATTTTAAATTCTATATGTTGTTAAAAATAAAGTTGTCATATATTTTATTTTGCATGTTGTTAGAAATAAATTTATTATATATTTTATTTTGATTGTTTACTGATTTATTATAAAAAATATTTGTATAAATTTAGTCTAAAAATTTAATTATATGGTATAAAAAAATAAAATTTAAACTTAATTTTTTTAATAAAAATTTTAAAACTTTATATGTGATCATAAATATATCCTAAACGACAATATCGTAATTTAGTGTTAAATTTATTATTTAATAACAAAACAATTTAGAAAAGTTTAAAAAAAAATTAAAATAGGGTGTTAATTAAATTAAAAACATCGTTGATATTTAATAGAGATATAATTACGATAATGGTTAAAATTTTAATTAAAAAATAAAAATTATAAAAATTTAATTAAAATTATTTAAACTATAAAAGTTTAATTAAAAAATAAAAATTTATAGTGACTAACATTAATTTAGCCTAAAACTTTAAAATAATTAAAATATTTTACGATTACAAGAGAATAAATAAATAATTTTCTTATAAAAACAAAATAGTACGTCATATTTTATTATTTTTTACTGTACTCAAAATAAAATCAAGTTTTTTCATTATTCTAAAAAAAGGTAAATGAATAAATAAAAAAAGGGTGAAGAAGAAAACCCTTTGGATTTGCCTTGCCGCAAACAAGCATTGCAGAGTGGTAGTAGTAAATTTGCCTCCGCCGCGAGAGCTCAGAGATGGTGAGTCAAAGGCAGCGACTCGCTCGTAAGCGATTCAAAGCAGAACACCCTGAACTATTCCCCAAGGCAGAGCCAACTCCCCCAAAGGACCCCGACAAGAAGAAGAAAAAGAAGAAAAGGACCATCTTCAAGCGCAAAACCGCGGATTCAAAACAAAGCAATTTCCGAAAACACCCTTTCAGAGTCCCTGGCATGAAGCCTGGCGAAAGCTGTTTCATCTGCAAGGCCAAAGACCATATTGCAAAACTCTGTCCCGAAAAAGCTGAATGGGAGAAGAACAAGGTTTCCTTTCCTTTCTCTCTCGAAGAACCGAGCATTGTTTCGTAGCTGGAATAATCACAAACTATTATATGTTTTAAACGTTAATTTATAGCTTTGATCAATATTACTGGATTTGCTATGTTGTTGTGATGGAACTGTGGTGTTGTCTTTGCAGATATGTTTGCGATGTCGACGCCGCGGCCACAGAGCTAAGAACTGCCCTGAGGTGCAAGATGGCACCGCCAATGATGGCAAGTATTGCTATAATTGTGGGGACACTGGTCACTCACTCTCAAAATGTCCGCATCCTCTTCAAGAAGGTTTGTTAATGTGTGTGTGTGTGTGTGTGTGTGTGTGTGTAAATTTATATATATTCTATGCTTTTCATGATGTGTATGGGTTACATCTGAGTCTGGAAAGTGAAGACCTGATATCTTAGGCCTGCTATAGCATGGGCATTATCGTTAGTTTTAGACCTTTTAAATTGAAATTTGAAAATTTTTTGAAGCAGTTCAGCACAGATTTCTAGTTGTCGTCTAGGGCTTTCTACTTAATAGAAGAGTTTGGTTAGATAATGGTATCTACTTGAGGTTACAAATTTGATTTGTCTTTGGCTTTGACTCTACTTGTGTGAAACTTGTCAAGGTTACAAAATTCTACCTTGTTTTCTTTTTGTTTTTTATCATCACAGATTTTTATTCAAAATAGTGAAAACAAGGTTTTGTTGTTTTACTGTTTCTTGTACAAATCTTTCGAAACAAGAAATAAAATGAAAATAAGGTATCATTTTTTAAAAGTATTAGTGAAAATGAGAAACGAAATGAAAATAAGGTTTAGTGTTTCATTTTCTAATGTTATTTCATTAGTTTTTATGTTAAACTTATTAATTTCTTTTGGGCAATTATGCTGTTACTGGCTTCTCTGTTGTATTTACTTGAAAATACCTCCTAATGGTTGGGGGCTCTTATGATGTTCCTTGGATAAAATCTCATATTCTCAAGTTTGATTTTGATGGAGTGCCTGGGTTCATTGGTGATGCAGGAGGGACAAAGTTTGCGGAGTGCTTTGTCTGTAATCAACGTGGACACCTGAGTAAAAACTGTCCTCAAAATACTCATGGAATTTATCCAAAGGTATTATCATTTCCTTTGATGGTAGACCTCATCGAATATATAAAAATATCAATTGAATCAACAAAACTTGTCTCCTGTAGGGTGTGTCTAATCTGTTACAACTGTTTATCTATATCAGGGTGGTTGTTGTAAAATATGTGGTGGTGTGACACATTTGGCAAAGGATTGTCCTGACAAAGGGAAGAAAGGATTGGTTGCTGCCAATAGACCTTTTGACGGATGTGAGTTTTTCCAAAACAAGTTAAATGGACTATATACTGCACTGTTCTTTAATCTGCTTGACATCCATGTTTCATTTATTTTCTTCTCTAAAATATGGCTGAAGCTAGTCCTGTTTTGCTGCTATTTATCTGCAGTTAGATTAAATCTACAATTATAATAATTTCTGACCATAATATCATCTAATTGCAAGTAGTGGAAGTGTACTGTTTATGGTCCTTGGCCACCTTAAGATAATTAGAACAGTCGCAGGTCGCAGCTACTACTCCAAAATTAGTGGTATTTTTGCTCTGAAATCTGTTATTAGTCCTGGGATATCATGAAGTGGCTAACCAAACTTGATAACTGTTCTTCACATCTGAATTTTGATATTAGATAAGTTTGGTGATGGTAGACTGATAGTGTGCTAGATTACACATTGCAAAGGTTCATAACATTTTATCTATAATTCTATATGATCTGAGGGGAAATATTAATCTGTTGTGATAAGCTTGAAACTTGATATCCATGACATGACGACATGGACGACCAAGGTCTTTTTTACAGTCCATGTTTTAGATTTCACCGATGAAGAGACATTGCCGTAACAAAGGATAGTAATATGTGCGACTGTATCTTTGATTCCATGCCAGATGAGGGTTGGAGTGTTTCTTTTAGGAACAAATTGTTCATCATAGACACTGAAAATGAATACAAATTTTTGGGGCTCAATTTGAGCTCTTTTCGTGTGGAGAATTTAATTGCACCCAGTTATGATGTTCTTCTGATGTATTGGTTGCTAAGCATTTATAGTCATCTGGAAGAAGGGTGTTTATATCCAATATGTCTGATAACTCTGTTCTTTATTTCAGCAATAAGAACTGGAGAGAGGCCCAGTGGTAAGGTTACCAAATTTGGCAGCGGGGATGATATTGAGGATGACTTCATGGCTGATGACATGTGTAGTGGTGATAAGAACAAGTCAGCAAAGTCAAAAGATGGCCATGTAAAACCAAAGAAGAAGGGTCCTAAAGTTGTGAATTTTTAACTAAAGATAGATACCTCTTAATGTGTTGTACGGATTTTTTTTTTCCCATATATTTATTTTCTTTCCCTTTCTATACGCAAGGCTATACTAGGCCTATGTTATTCGTTGCATTCGGCAGAATCTATTTCAGAATGAATGTTTAACGCTCCTGCAAAGTATTCACCAAATTTTTAGTATGGAGAATTGACATGAAAATCCGAGTATCGCGTCTTATTGCCGAACAGAAATTCTACTGTGTTTTCTAAAAGGTAACTACAAATGTAAACAATATATTTTTTCGTACAAATACCGGTTATTAAATATGCTTTAAGTGGCCACGATATCATAAAATTTTTGCATCCAGGTTGTATTTCAAGTAATAGCTTTGTTTATTTATTTTTCATTTCAAACTATATAATAACTATATGAAATATTTTGTTTGTTAAATTTATTTTAAAAATAAAGTATTTCTTTTCATTCTAATATTTTATTTTAAGCATTAATAATTATATTTAGGTTATTGCATGATACGATCTCATGATTCAAGATTATTAATAATAGTACTGACAATTTTATTTCTCAGAATACTTAAGAAAGATAGAATTGATACAGCAATGTTAAATAAATATAAAATAAATACAATTTTTTTTAATTACTAATCATAGTTATTTTCTGAGATTCAAAGTTAACTTATTAATTGCAAAATAATTTATATACCAATTGAGCTTATATTCTAATAAAATGTAACACTGTAAAATATATCTGATAAAAAGTTTCTTTATTCTATTTATCTATATTTTATTATATATATTTTTTATATGTAAAATTCACTACAACTACTTATTATTGTATACATTTATAATTACAAAATTTATGGTTATTAAACTTTAGAATATTTTAAGTTATTTATAATTTTGATAACTACAACTACTTATTACTCTTTGTATTTATATCAAATTTTATAATTATAAAAATTTAGAATGTTTAGAGTCTGTTATATTATTAGTAATATTATGTATTAAATTTTATTTTTAATTAATTAAATTATATCAAATTTATTAATATTTTTTTAACTAATTTAATTTACAATAGTGTAAATTCATATTATCTAAAATTATATCATAAAGTTTACATATCATATATGTCATATTTTAAAATTTTTAAATAAAAAATATTTAAAAAATAATTACAAAAACTAATAAAATCTCATGTTATAAATGTACTTCTTAAAGAAATTTTAAACATACTAATAATAAATAAAATATAATATTATTAAATTTTGATTATCTTTATAACACTAATAAATGTTTTTTCTTATTAAATTTAATTAAAATGTATAAATCAATTTATGTAAAATTGATTACACTTACTTATTAATATATACATTTACAACAAAATTCATGTTTATTAAATTTTAAAATACTTAAAGCCATATATAATGTTCTTTTATATCATATTACTTTGTATTTATATATTACAATAATATATATATATATATAATTCATATATTTTATTTTGTGGCAGTAAATTATATAAAAATATTTATTTATTGAGTAAACATAAAATTACATTATTTTTAAGTAGTATTATGTATTATATTTTATTTTTATCTGATTAAAATTGTGTCAAGTATATATTCCAGTGATGTTTTTATGTTTGCATGAAAATCAACAAAAATTTATGTCAATATTGATATATAGAATGTTACTCATTTTATAGATTTATTATAATATAAATATATTATTTTTAAGTAATATAATGTATTATATTTTATTTTTATTTGATTAAATTTGTGTTAGATATGTATTATAGACAATATTTTTATTTTTAAATAAAATTAAAAAAAATTTATGTCAATATTGACATATTAAACATTACTGATTTTATTAATTTATTCGATATAAAAATTATACTAAATTTTTTTCTATTATAGATAATATTTTTTTCTTTTTTAACTAAATTTTTAATTGTTCATTATCATTTAAATATTAAATTTAAATTAGGTATAATATTAATATTACAAGATTTGTAATTTTTTCTAAAATAAGAATTTGAAATTTTTTTAATAAAATTTTAGTTATAACAAAATTAAACAGTAATAATTAATTTAAATTTTCTTATCATTTTTTTATTCATCCTTTAAATATATTTATTTTTAATTAAATTTTAAGAATAATGTTGTTTATTTTGAAATGTTACATTAATAATTATGAATTTAAATTTAAAATTAAAATTAATTATTTATATTAATTAAAATTTTATTTTAATTATTGCAGTTGCATATTTAATATTTTTATATTATAATAAATAAATAAATAGATAAATTATAATATTTTAAATATAAATTAAGCTTAAATATTATATTTACCTTTTACATATATAATTTATTTCGAGAATGAATGAGAACTCTTTAACTTTTTAATATTTTCTTCATATTTTAAATATTTTGATTATAATTATGAGAAAAATCTATAATCAAATAGAAAAATCTTTTAATATTAATATTTTAAATTATATTTATTTATTAATAGTTTATATTTTAATTATGTGATCATAAAAAAATTTTAGGTTTAAAATTAAATTTTGAATGCTTTTAAATTTTTTTAGAATATTTATTCATGTAATGGACCTATAATTCATTTTATAGTTATAAACTAAATATTTATATTAAAATAATTATTTATAATATGATATTTTTTAAATTAATATTATTTTAAAAGTTAAAATAAATTATAATTATTAATATATATATATATATTTATTATAAGTTAAATTTAAATATATTATTTTAAAATTATAAATTAATAATTTTACACATAATTTATCAATTAAATTTACATTAATATTTATTTTAATTTTTAAAAAATTAAAATTAAATTTATGCAAATGAATCTTAATTTAATATAATACTAAATCTCACTGTTTATTTAGATATATTTTTTATTATATTTTCACTCATTAGTATATATATATTTTTTCCATATTTTTATTTTATTTTTAAAATATTTAATAAAAATAACAATATAATAGATTTACATTATTTATATTTAAAAAAAATTAAAAAAATTATTGTTTAATTATATTTTCACATTCTTTTAATTCATTTTTAAAAATTCATTTGTTATATTTACATTAACTAAAAGAATAAAAAAATTTATTGTTGGAGAAGATGAAAAATATATAAATATACAAAAAAAATTATATAAAAATGTATTTATCATATTTTTTAATTTATTTATGTTTAATATTATTTAATATAATAAAGTATTGTTATTATATATTTTTTATATTTAAATTAGAATTTTTATTTATTTTATAATAGAATAATTTAATAAAAATATAAACAAATTTATATAATACATAAATATATTTACTAAGTTTTAAAAAATTATTATTTTTAAGATTTAAAATATTTAAAGTCACATATGAATTAAGTTAATTATTATATTTTTATATACAATTTATTTTAAAAATAATTAAAATTTTGATTTTATATTTTATATTTTTTTATTACATCAAAATAATTATTTTTGCACAAATATATTTATTAGTTTAATTAGTATTCTGAAGTTTAAATACTTAAAAATATAACAACATTAAAAAAATCTAGAAAAAAAATTAGTTATGCATTTAAATTTAAAATAAATTTCTTTGTTGTCTAAAATATCTTTAAAAAGTCTATTAGATTTGTTTGATTTATTTATGTGTGTAGAAAGATTAATTATTATATTGATTGTCTAGTTAAGATAAGATTTTATCTCTTATTTTTTATATCTGATTTTGATACTTAGTTAGTTAGTTTGTTTTGACCTTTTTGAATTTTTTAATCCTTCTTATAGCCAAAAAAGAAAAACAAAATGTATACAATTTTAGAAAAAAATTATTCTAATAAAATAAAAGACAAGGGGTTTAAAACTATTAACCTTAATTTCTCAGTGAAAAGAAAAACTCCACATTAACCCTAATTTCCCTGCCTTGCGTAGTTAAGTAGCTACGCCCGCATCCGTTAGCTGGATTCATCTCTGTTGCTATGGCTGCGACCGATAGCCATGGCAATAGTCAGAGCGAATTTTCCGATAGGAAGAGGTGCAGAGAGGAGGAGGAAAACCCTGAAACACTGACTTCACTGGAACAGTGTAGTAAGAAGAAGAAGAAGAGAAAGAAGAAAAACAAGGGGCAGGAAGCAAACGAACATCCTCAGGTTCAGGTATGCCCTAACCCGTTACTAGAAGACACTTTAATCCCAATTGTTTCGCCAAAGGAAAAAACTGAAGCTACGGCACAGAAAACGAAGGAGAATGTGCAAGGTGCACAGCACCTTCAGACATGTAAAGCTTTAACTCCGTTAAGCATAGAACCCAACATTAGGAAGGAAAAAGGAGCACCACTAGATGATGCTAATGCTAATGGTGATGGAGACCCGTGCTCTAAACATGAAACCGCTGTTCCTGAAAAGAGGAAAGGGGAAGGATCAAATGAAGCTGCTGCAGAGAACCCTGTAAATGATCCAATATCGTCGGAAGATATTTCTAGGAAAAAGAAGTCGAAGAAGAAAAAGAAGAATGTGCTCAGTTCCCTGGTGACAGAACCAGAACAAGAAGTGGAACCAAAGGAGTCCAGTAATACAGATTGCCCTCAACAATACCCAGAACTGATGAATAATACGGAAAAAGGAACAGAGCCAAAAGAAGCCAATGCTGAGCATTCTGGAGTGTGGTCTAAACCTGAATTGGCATTCCCATTAGATGTAGCAATCCTGAAAGACTCAGAACTGAAAAAAGGGGCAGAACCAGCTCATACTAATATAGAGCACCCTCAAGTGTGTTCTAAACGAGAATTATCACTCCCATTAGACCTGGCAACCTCAATAAACAAAAAGAAAAATAAGGTGGGAGGAGGTGAAGCACATGCAACAAACTCAGAAAAGAGAAAAGAGGCAGAAGTAAGTGAAGGACTTGCACTGCACCCTCAACCTCAACCTTGCACTAAACCAGATCCAGAACCTCCAGGAGACCTAATAACTGCAGTTGATCAAAGCAGAGGGAAGCAAAAAAATAAAAGTGGGAGAAAAAGAAAAATGTGCTCAGAAGAGAAGGAGGAGAACCAAATTAACCCTTTGCATTTGAACATAACACTCAACCATTCCCTGAACAAAATCCAATCGGAGCCAGCAACCACAATAAGCCCCAAACCAACATCTCTGACAGACCAAACAATCCCAGTAGATCCAGCAATCCCAAAAGACACAGAACAGAAGTCCAAGAATAAAAAGAGGAAGAAGCAAAAGAATAATGTGCTGGATGGGGAGGAACTTAATGAACATATTACTGAGCAGCCTGAAACCCCAATTCAGACACCTACATGCCTTATAGCAGCATCCCCAATAGATCCAACAATCCCAATGGACCCTTGCCCTGCAATCCCAATAAGCCCAGTAATCTCCAAAGACCCAGAACATAAGATGTCAAAGAATAAGAGGAAGAAGGAAAGGAAGAGTGCGCTCAAGGGTGAAGGGGCAGAACCCGATGAACACAATGGCAACCCACCTGAAGGCCCGACTGACGCCCCAGATCAGAAATCTGTATACTTATCAGCACCCTCAATTGATCTAATAATCCCAATAGGCCAAACTCCCCCAGTAGACACAGCAACCTCAATAGAGCAAGATCAGATGATGGCCAAGAAAAAGATAAATAAAAAAAGGAGGAGTGCGCTCATGGGTGAAGGAGAAGAACCTAATGAACATGATGGCAAGCCATCCAATGCCTCAGTTCACAGATCTATATATACTACCGCAGCAGCCTCCATAGACCCAACAATCCCAACAGGCCAAGCTCTCCCAGTAGATCCAGCAACTCCAGCAGCTCCAGTTGACTCAGAACAAAAGATGACCAAGAAAAAGGAGAAGAAGAAAAGGAGTGCGCTCATGGGTGAAGGGGAAGAACCCAATGAACACAATGACAAGCCACCCGATGGCCCAGTTCAGAGATCTCTATATCCTACAGCAGCAGCCTCCATAGACCTGACAATCCGAACAGGCCAAGCTCCCCCAGTGGACCCAGCAACTCCAGTTGACCCAGAACAGATGACCAAGAAGAAGAGGAAGAAAAAGAAGAAGAGTGAACTCATAAGCACAGTGGAAGAACTCAATGAGCACAATGGCAAGTCACCTGATGCCTCAGTTGGGAGATCTATATATCCTACAGCCGCACCCTCCATAGACCCAACAGGCCAAGCTCCTGCAGTAGACACAGCTACGCCAGTAGCCCCAGAACAGAAGATGACCAAGAAAAAGAGGAAGAAGAAAAGGAAGAGTGCACTCATAAGTGAAGGGGCAGAACCCAATGAACATGATGGCAAACCACCTGGAACCCCAGTTAAGATATCTATTAATCCGATAGCAGCACCTGCTCTAGACTCTGAACAGAAGATGACCATGAAAAAGAATAGTGCACTCAGAAGTGATGGCTTAGAATCCAAGAAACACAGTGCTGATCCACCCACTGAAACCCCAGTTCCAAGAAGAAGGTCCTCAGTCACTGAAGTTCCTTTTGAATGGGTTGGTGAAAATTCTGTGGTATGTAGCAAGATCCATAGATTTAGTTTCTCTAGTTGTATTCTATGTTGCTGTGTCCTGTAATAATCATTAGCAGTTCCGAAGTAACAATGAATTTTCAGTTTTTTGAGATATGCACTTAGAATGAGCCCATTGTAGTATATAAATGGTAACTTGGTGTTTCCAGAGATGCATGGCATGCCGAGGGCTTGGTCACACATTCCAACGCTGTCGAAGGCTGAGAGGTCTCCCCATGGATGCAGAAGTTTGCTTCTTTTGTGGGGAAATTGGACATTCACTTGGAAAATGCTCTGTGTCTCAAGCAGGTATGGTAAAACTTTTATGCTTTTCATGAAGTTTTTATATTTTCAATTTTAACATGAGAATTGAGTGATAAATATTTTATTTGATTCCATTAGCTCAGATTTTCAGCCATTTTCTTAGAATAGATAATCGTATAGATTTTGAAGATGTTTAGAGTTTGACATAACATAAGTGGGGAATGTTCATTCTATCTTTGGACTTCAAATCTGCTGTCTAAAACTTGTACAATATAAGATCTACCTCTGTTATAACATAATCTTCACAAATCTGTAAACAGGCATCAAAATGCTTTCTTTCATCAGTTATCTTATGATTCAAAATTTTTCACTGGTGATGCAGGGGGAGGAAGGTTCGCGAAGTGCTTATTTTGTTATAAACATGGACACTTCAGCTATAACTGCCCTCGAAATGGTCATAGAATTGAGCCAAACGGTATTCTATATTATTTGGATTTTAGACACTGTCATGTTGGTTTTTATTTTTTCCCAGAATGTTTGTGAAAATGTATGCATGCTTTTAATTCATATCCTAACATCATCTTCCTACCTGGTACCAATACTCTATGGAAACTGCCATACCTGTGCTTCAGAGCTTATCATATATAACTTTTTATCCTGTGCAATATTGTACAGATTAGAAAAATTGCTAAAATTATTCCTATTGTTTATGTCCTGAAACATCTTGAAATGGATAATTAATTTGGTTAAGTAAGATGTTCTTGATATGTTGGGTTTAGTAAGCCTTCCACATGGGATATACATTGCATCATCATTTTTGCAAAATAAGCATCTACACAGATAATTCAACTGCTTGCTTGTGTAGTGTTCTTTATTTGATAGATTTTTTGTTGAGGTTTCGCTCGTGACACTTAGTCACGATGGAGACTTGTTCATGATTATTAAATGTCTGGGATTTAGCCACTTGTTCAAACATCGTGTACAAGTTCTCTCAGAAACTGATTCCTCTCTCTCGTGTTGAAATGGAAAATAAACTCCAATTTCATATATCTGCTTTGGATGTAATTTCTTACAAATGACTCATGGTGTCACTTTTAGTTCTGAATAATCTCTTTCTAATTTATCTCTCACATGTTTTCTGCCTTTAGTTTCTTCTGATCCATCTTGCTAAGCATCTTGTTGATGCCAATGAAGGGTATCTGACAACTTGTTCCATTATTTGTAGAAGCCTTGTGAGCTATAGGAGAGTCTAGCTGAAGTTTCAAATATGTCAACAGGGATGGTCTTCGGGATGACTCCAAGTCAATTTACAGCAGTACTTCTGTACGTGTATAGTTGTGGATCTCGGTTCTTTGGCATGGGGATTTGATGATTTATATCGTGCTTGGCAGGCATGGTTTCCCAATTTTGTAGGTTTAAAATCTCTAATGTAACCGAATTGGTCATATTATTGGCAGGTTATTTGGTTTTCATATCCATGTTTTTTTTTATATTTCTCTATGTTGGGATTAGTTGGGGTGGCTAGAAAAATAATGTTGTTACTTTACATAACTGTAGTTATTTTTTTAATTAAATATTACATATAACTATCTTTTATTAATATTTAACATTATTTTACGTCAATGGTAGTAGTTATTTTGAGAATTTATTTTATTTTACTATTTTTATAATATTATAATTTCATTTCTTATGAACTGTGATGATGTGAGTGCGATAATATGAGTGAACAACATAAAAGGTCTATAATCTAGATTTTAAGATCTACATATTGTAATAAAAATCCATTATCTATGTTATATTTATTGATAGCACTTGACTATTTATCCATAAAGATTAAACTTATGCAACATTTAGGGTCTGAGTAGCACCTTTATAAGAGGTAACAAATTCTGAATGATTGACTAGTATCAAAATATTTTTATGACAACATCATGCTTTCATGGTAAGAAATTTCATGAAAACTAAAACATATACTTGTAATCTTAGGCTTAGGGTTCTAGTTAACAACTATCAAGGATTTACTTATACTTGAATATTATAGTCAACTCAGCATTTTAGGAGATGGTAGGTATCTTGATGGTTTCTGTTGATTTTGATGAAAACAATATCCATCCGATTGTTATTTATTCACTAGTTTAGGTTTAATCTTCTTTAAAAGAAATTTGTCTTACAAAAATTTTATATTCCTTAATATAAGGAAAATAAACATAATGCTTTCTTACTTTTTATATATATATATATATATATATATATATATATAAGTACTTTATTTATTCTAACTCTCTTGAGATAGTTTGATTGGTAATATTTTAATATGGCACCTTTTGAGGGTATATAGTCTTGGGATCTTACTTTTTTTTACTTCATTGATTTATAATAGTTTTTATATTCTTGAGCATGTGCAAGAAGGAAAAGGAAGCTTGATGAAAAAATTATTTTGTATTTCCAACAAAAGAGCTATTAGAGAGGGATTTTGAGAAAAACTTTAATAATCATCATTGATAGTGGTAAGATTTTAAGAGATGATGAGATTTCAAAAGTTAACTCAATATTATTTGTGGTGAAAGTTGCTCATAGTAACCGTGACAATGACAAAAGATTTGATGATAAAAAAAGAAAAATTATTTCATTTTATTTATTTTTAACTTAACGCTATTTTATAATAAAATTTACACTAAATAAATAAAGTTTGATAGTTAATATGCTGAACTTATTCTATCTTCATTTTCAGTGGAATACATTATACTACAATATCAAAATTATTAATATAAAATTTAATATATATTATTGATAAATTATATTTTTAATATAAAATAATTTTATATTAATAAAAATCAACTTTTAACTATATTTTTATAATATATCAAACTCAACATATATTTTGAGAGAACTAATTTTTAAATGAGAATATTTTTATAAACCTTCTGAGACGAAAGTAATTTTAAGAATTGGTTCTTACCAACTCAAGTAATTTTAAAAAAAATATATTTTTAATTAAATATTCATTGAAATTTGTAAAATATAATAAAATATTAATTATTAATTATTATAATATTGGTATTTATAAACTATATGAAAATTTAAAATTTATAACAAATTTTAAATTATTTGTTAAAAAGTATTTTAATTTAATAATATTGAAACAGTGGAAAAGAAAGTTATTAGAATATATTTTGTAGGGAGAAAAGTGCATGGGAATATCCTGAGCTAAGGTCCGACACAATGTAATCCAGTGGGGGCTTATTAGTGGGAGCGATATGTAAGATTTAACGTCCATAGAAATTAAACAACGATATGACCAAAGTGGCATAATTGAGCAAATGAGTGGGGGCATCACATAAATGCAGGGTCGTCTGTTTCTTTATTGGTGCTTTTTTAACAGTTCCACACATGACATGATCAGAGTGATTTTCTTGGGTAACAGAAAAAGGACTTGGGGAGTAACATATATGGAGATGCCTCACAAGGGTTAAGAATTATGAAGTAAAAGTCACACACGAAAAATGGCTCCCAGATTTCTAGTTCAGTTAATGATGATTTCATTTTCTTTGCACTCCATTGGAATATAGAATTAGTCTTTCATATGAATTTTATTTGTGAAATTTATTATTATTTTCAGGTGCACATTTAGGGAGTTACTAATTTGGAAATATGGCAACATTCAATTATTGAAAATATTCTTGTTGCTTTTGAGTAACATTTATATATAGTGTTTTTAGTGGGAACGTACGTGGAGATTGATACACAACTCTTAATAAGATAAAGGATGTGCTTGGTTATGTGTTTTGTTCTCCAAAATGCGTGTGTTTGGCAGTCAAACTTAACTTTAGTCATTGACTGACGTGTTTGGAGCTCTTCTAAAACGCAAAACATTTTCTTCAATCAAATGCATTCTGCCATTCTTGTTAGCTTATGGATTTATTGTACGCAAGTGAGAGGCTTTGTTATTTAGCTTAATTTCTGTTTTACCTTCCTGTTTTTGCTAATCTCCCATGTCTTTCACATGGCTAGCTACTGTGCTCAGTTCTTCAACCTCATCCCAAGTTGTCACACATTCCAGTTAGGTCTTCTATGCACACTTCCTACCAGTGCCCATGCTTTACTAAAATGGTTTCCCTTTTTTTTTTCTTTTTTATTTTTATTGTTGACATATATTGGGGATTTTATAATTCTATATTTCATAATAAAAAAAGGAATACTCACTCTTGCTCGATATAATGATTAAAAAATTATTGTAAACCTATATTTTTTTGATTGCTAATTTATATATTAAAACAGTTAATCACATTTCAATTCTTTTTTATAGTTATACTGATATAAAACCATTTTAGTAATTAGATATTTCAAAAGTAATTTTGAATAAAGTGATCATAAAATCTCTTTATAGTTATTATCCAAACAAAATTTACATAATTTCAAACCCACTTTTACTCAATTAATTTTGCAAAATCACGTTTTATAAACTTCTGTCCAAACACTCAAATTAGATGTTATTCACTGTTCTTTGATCTCTGTGCGTTGTCACCTACATTTTAACCGAGTTTGCATTCTTTTAAAATTTGTTAACTGAAAGGAAATCTAAATTACATTTTATGTGATGTAATTATAAGTAAAAATTGATTCCCCAATTGTGTTATTCTTTTTAATTTTTTAAAGATTGAGTATGTTTTAAAAGTTTTATATAATTAGATAAAATTGTCCCAAAGCAAAATTTCAACAATTTTTTTTCAATACTGTTTCTAAAGTATATATAGTAGTTCAAAAATATGTGTTAAAAAACTATAATTTAAAATCATAAGCTAGTCTAATATGAACACATCTGTATGCAAACTTCCAAGTATTATTAACAGTTTGTGGACACCATGTTTATTTCTCCTTGGCTAGAATTAACAAGTGAAATGAAGAAGTTTAGCAAATGCACATGCAATTCATGGGTATAACAGGGTCACGTTCTTCCTTCGTGGACATTATCACCCATTGAAGTTTTTGAGAGATTTCAACCTTTGTTTTCTTCCTCAAAATTCTCTTGCTCTCCGTTTTTGTCTCAAAGCTCTCATTGCCTCCCCACGAAATAAGGATCTCTTCTTTTGTCTCTCTCATTTCTCTGTTTCCTTCTCAACTGCTTTCTTTTTCATTTCTCCTTAAGCTTTCTCTATCATCCGAGACAACATGGTACGTTCTCAGTGTCTCTAATCCCTACCTCTAATTGTTGATTGTTTATGCAATGTTACTAAGCTTCTTGATGAGTAATGTTACAGGCCAAAATAATTGAATAAGGAAATGGCAGGTTAGATAGAACAACACGCAAATTACTTTGAATATTTTTGTGAAATATTCATTTGTATGTAAAAGCAGATATCAGATATTACTGATGCGTATCTATGCCTATTACATATGGCTAATGAGAACATATTGATAAAATGCCTTATATAGCAGAAGAAATGGTGTTGTTTCTAATTCTATGTTTATGCACAGTTGGATGTATCTAATTTAGTACATATTTGGATTCACGTTGAATTTTTACAGAATCGCGTTTATTCTAATGTAAAGTAATTTCAGAAAAGTTTGATGTTTGGTTGCTCTTGCCAAAATTGGTTTTGCCTTTGTACTCATATTTGAGTCAGTGTGATCAATTGTGTCTTTTATGTTGTGTTGAAAAATTTATATTAAAATTGCTAAACGTGCTTTTAGAGAAGATTCTGATTTTGGGTATTCATTTCATTAGAATTTTGGCAAACACATTGATTCTTGAATTAAGTCGTGCAGAGCTAATTTTTTTTTGGTAGATGTGCTATTAAGGAACGTTTAAAGACTTACGAGACTGTAAATTTAATCTTTATTCAAGGGCATACCTAAAGAATTTTGTATTTTACACTTGAGAAATATTTTAACTCTGTGAGGGACTGTCCCCATGGAGACACATGAATGCTTCTATAGGAATGGGCATGAGTTTTTTCACAGTCTTGTTTTATGTTCATATCTTTTGCAATGCTGGAATTGGCAATGAAATGTCAATTAACAAAGTTGTTTGATATTATCATAAAATTGCATTGTGAATTCATTGTTTCTTTTGTTTTCCAAAAATGTATTTAGGCCAACGCGGCATCTGGTATGGCTGTTACTGATGAATGTAAACTAAAATTCCTGGAGCTGAAGACGAAGAGAAACTACCGTTTCATTGTGTTTAAGATTGAGAATCACCAAGTGGTAGTGGACAAACTTGGAAGCCCACAAGAAACCTATGAGGACTTTACTGCATCTTTGCCTGCCGATGAGTGCCGTTATGCTGTCTTTGATTTTGATTTCACCACAGATGAAAACTGCCAGAAAAGCAAGATTTTCTTCATTGCGTGGTAATTCTATCCTTTAGTTCTTGTGCGCATACATGGTAAAGTCCTTGTTTGTTCATATTTGGAAATTTTCTTTTTTAAGTGCTCTAAAAAGACTAATCCAAATATGCATTTAGATATATAAAGAACGGCATAAATGGTATCGATATATTGCAGTATGGGGCGCTTTGTCTATAAATGAATGTTAGTGAAGTTAAAATATGGTTATCTCTTGGACACATCTTATCTTTCCTATCAATACCATGTAATGCATGACACTGTTATATTAGAAAGGAAAAATGTTTAATGACTTTGTTATGATATATTCATCTTTAGCTTCTTGTTTCTCATATTTAGGTCTCCGGATACATCAGTGGTGAGACAAAAGATGGTGTATGCCAGCTCCAAGGACAGATTCAAGAGGGAACTTGATGGCATTCAGGTTGAGTTGCAAGCAACGGATCCTAGTGAGATGAGCTTTGATATCATAAAAGCACGGGCAATATAATCATGTCATCAAATTATTCAGACTTCACACTTTTCCCCTACATCTAGCTTTTCAGGCCTTATTGATATTCTTTATTTTATATTTTTATTTGTTTATTTATTTAATTTTTGATGTGGTTTTTTTGTTCTTTTTGTCAAACTAATGGCCTACATTGTAAACCAGTAGTTTAATATGATACTAAGAAAACACACTACCATGCATTTCAGACTATATCAAACAGCTTTATTTATTGAATGGATTACATTGTTTGCCTCATAAAAGTAAAACTGCATTTCATTACAAGTCTATGGCCTTGTGTTTCTTCCCCACACCTTTTCACGTATAAAATTTGCAAAGGGTCACTGTTCAGATACATTCAGAAAGAACTCAATGATCACCGTGTAATTGGTTGAATAGAAGTTTTAAACATATAAATGATTATAAGTTTATAAATATATACATTGGAAAGGTGATTGTTACATATTATAAATTTAAAAGAATATTATATACATTTTTTAAATTAACAGTTACAATTTTTCTAATATTTTAAAAATTAAAAAACATTTATATTTTTTAAAAATAAATTACTAACACTATTATCTATTTATGTAAAATAAATAATAATAATTATTTTACTTAAGAAAAAAATATAATATTTTCTTAATTTACAGGACACTATAAAAATTATTATATCTCTAATTTTTCTAATTCTTCGAAGTTGTCAAGAAAATGACATTTTCAATTAAATAAGCACAGACCTTTGACAATAAGTTTATTATTGTTTAAGAGTTTAATGGCAAATTCCCATGAAAACAATCAGAAAATTAAAGTGGCTGTTAAGGTCCATGCATTTTGTTGTCCGGCAAAATAATTTTTTTATTATATTTTTATAATGGATTAATTTTAATATAAATAATTAAAATAATATATAATTATAATTTAAAATCAGATTGATAAAAAATATATTTAATATGTTATTAACGGTGTAAAATAATAAAACTTATATGAGTATAAATAAATAGATCACTCTCAATAATACATACTAAATACTAAATGTCCTTTTTAATAATATGTTTTGACCTCATCAAAGATGCGTGCTTGGCTGCATTGAAAAGTTGCATTGAACTACTTTACAAAAACGTCAAACGTCAAACGTCAAATCATTTTTATATTTTATATTAATATATTTTTTTTAAAAAAAGTGTTGATTAGTCAAGTTTGAAAGATTTATTTTTAATTTATATTAAATTAATAAATTTCTTGTATATATTACACGAAAGTTTTTAAGTTTAAATATAATAAAATAAAAATATATAAGAAAAATATCATTATTATTTAATAATGACAAAATTATATGTTTTCAAAGAAGTATGAAGTAAAAATAGTCTATGTTTTTTTTTTATATATTATAGTTACTATTATTTTTATTAAATAAATTTAAAATATAAGGTTTTCGAAATTAAGGGAAAATTTAAAAATATTTTAATCTTTTTGAAATTAAGGAAAAAATTATAAAAAAAATATTTTAATCAAAACACATCATCTTTAAAATATATTATAGTTACTATTCTATTTTATTAAATAAATTTAAAATATAAGGTTTTCGAAATTAAGAGAAAAATTATAAAAAAAAATATTTTAATCAAAACGCATAATCTTTATGTTTATTAATTTGATATGTTGTGTTAAAATTCAAAATCAAATTTAAATTGATTTCAACTAAGATTATAATAATATTATTGTCCATTTAATATGTATATTTAAAAATATGTATAATTAATTTAATATGGTGTGCCAAATTTTAAAATATAAAATTTAATTTCCATTAAAATTGACAAAATATAAACAATAATATTTGAGAGAGAAAAAAATAAAAAATAAAAAAGATCATATACCTAATGTAAAAAAAAGTCACATTAACGTTACTTAATACAAAAAAAATTTCTCTTAAAAACATTTTTATTCAAAAGTGATGTCATTACTACAGTAACTAAAATTAACCCTAGTGAAATAAGCTCTCTATCCTACTTAGTAGTTTATCTCAATTTATTTTACTTTGATTAAAAGCTATCGCTCTCCTGATAGTGAAATGTAAATAATAAAACTTATATAAAAGGAAACAAAATGCAATAAATTAGTGAAAGCTGATTGTCTATTGTTCCTACAGGCATGAAGCCAGATCAGTAGATGTTCAGTGGAAAAATATTAGGTCAAATAATTCGTCCCTTTAGTTAAAAGTATGGAACGTCACATTGTTGACAATTGTTATCCAATCAGTCTATATATAAACGTTGCACCATCATCCCAAAGCATCAATGCCATAGTTGTTGTTTTCCTTAACATGGGAAGATACCTGAGTGCTATATCAAGCGTTTTTTTGCTGTTGATTGAAATTGCACAAATATGTTTGAGTGCAAAGTCAACTGTCCCTTGTATAGAAAGAGAAAGACAAGCACTTCTCAAGTTCAAAGCCTCCCTCCAAGACCCAACAAACAGACTTTCCTCTTGGAAAGGTATTCATTGTTGCCGATGGGAAGGTATAGGCTGTGACAATGTTACAGGACATGTTGTCAAGCTTGATCTCAGCAATTCATGTACTATTAGACAAATGACAGATGAACTTGGATGTGATGTAGGTGAGAATTCCTTAAAAGCTCCAAATATTAATCCTTCTCTTTCACAATTGGAATATTTGACTTACTTAGATTTGAGTAATAATGATTTCCAGTTCAGTCCAATACCAATGTTCATTGGTTCTATGCAACAACTCACATATCTTGCTCTTTCGTCTGCTAATCTTGGTGGAAGGATTCCCAAGAATTTTGGAAATCTCACTAACTTGCACCTTCTTGATCTTAGTTTAAATTATGATGATACAGATTCAACTTTATACACTGCTGACATCGACTGGATCTCTAAACTTCGGTCACTAGAAACCCTTAACATGACCATGGTGGTTTTTAGGAAAGCTAACAATTTGTTCAAAGTACTCAACATACTTCCTTCCTTGTTACACATTTCCTTGAGTTTTTGTGGACTTGACAATTCACTCATTCCTCACAGTGCTTTCCAAAACTTGACATCACTAGTGTATCTTGACCTTTCGTGGAATTCACTTCATAGTCCAATTTCTGATGCTTTCAGAAACTTGACTTATCTTGAAACCCTTGAACTTTCTAGAAACAATATCACTTCAATTCCATCATGGTTCAATAATTTTAAGAAGCTTAGCTTTCTTGATCTCTCATCCAATGTGCTTCATGGTGCAATTCCTGATGCTTTCAAAAATATGTCATCACTTGTTCGCCTTGATCTTGTCGGCAACAGTATCAATTCAGTTCCATCATGGTTTGGAAACTTGAAGCTTGTGCGTCTTGATCTTTCAAGGAATGACCTCGATGGTCCAATTCCTGAGGCTTTTCGAAACATGACTTCTATTGAATCTCTCACCCTTGATGGTAATCGTTTCACTTCAGTTCCATCGTGGTTTACTGAGTTAAAGACACTTGTATACCTTGACCTTTCATCGAATAAACTTACTCCTATCAAGTGTTCTCTTTCCTCAATTCTCATAAACATGTGTCATCTAAAGAGCTTAAGTTTTTCAGACAACAAGCTTCGAGGGGAACCAATTGGAAGTTATGAATTATCTGCATGCATTAGATATGATCTAGAGACATTAGATTTGAGTCATAATGATTTTAGTGATCGCTTGCCAACATGGTTGGGGAGACTTGAAAATCTTGAGGATCTTTATTTGGAATCAAACTTTTTCTATGGTTCCATTCCCCTTTCTCTTGGAAAATTATCAAATTTGAGAAGAATGAGTCTATCCAATAACAAGTTGGAGGGTCCCCTCTCTAATGATATCGGACAACTTGTCAACCTAACCTACTTGGATCTTTCTTTTAATAATTTTCATGGTGAGCTTCCCAGGGGTCTCGGGGAACTTGTGAATCTACAAGTTTTTGATCTTTCAAATAATTCTTTTAATGGCTCCATTTCTCAAGTTCTTGGACAACTTGTAAATCTAGAAAAACTTGACCTTTCAAGAAATAAATTACATGGGAGTATTCCTGATTATTTTAGCCAACTTGTGAAACTAAGAGAATTGGATCTTTCTTCAAACAATTTGGATGGAACAATTTCTCTGGGAAAAAATTTGTCTTCAAGTATGCTTCAATTGTCAGAATTTGATCTCTCAAATAATCAACTGAGTGGTCCACTTCCCAAAAATATAGGTTATATGATGCCCCGTTTGATCAACTTGCATCTTGAAAATAACCTCATAAATGGCTCAATACCAAACTCATTGTGCCAAAATAAGTTGTTCACACTTGATCTTTCAAAAAATAGATTCTCGGGTGAGATTCCAAATTGCTGGAGAGATCATAAAAATTGGGATAAAATAAATCTTTCGTTCAACAGACTATCAGGTTCTTTTCCAAGCTCATTTGAGAGTCTTTCTTCACTGTTATGGTTGCATTTGAACAGTAACAATCTTCAAGGGGAGCTTCCAACATCATTGAGTTTTTTGAAGCAATTATTAATTTTGGATTTGGGTGAGAATCAATTTTCTGGCAGCATACCATCATCATGGACAACAAACACCTTTCCTTCGCTTCATATTCTTAGATTGAGGCAGAATATGTTAAGTGGTAGCATTCCTTCACAACTATGTCAACTCACATCACTGAAAATTTTGGACCTTTCATGCAACAATTTATCAGGTTCAATACCTTGGTGCATAGGCAACCTTAGAGGAATGATTCGTGACAAATCAAATACAGAATTGACTACCCCAGCCATGCCGCCTACATCTGCATCTTTTGGATGGTATACTGAGGATGTCAAACAAATCATGAAAGGAACAGAATTTGATTATGTCAAAATCTTGAAGTTAGTAGTCAACTTGGACTTGTCAGAAAACAATTTGGATGGATCCATTCCCAATGGAATAACTTCGCTTACTGGATTGATTGGCTTGAATCTGACAAACAATAATTTGAATGGAGAGATCCCTACGATGATAGGGAATATGAAATCATTAGAATCCTTGGACATGTCTCATAACCATCTTTCAGGAACAATTCCAAACAGTATATCTGCTTTAACTACACTGAGTCATTTAAACTTGTCACACAATAACCTTTCAGGACCAATTCCAAAAGATAAACAGTTCTCGACTCTGGACGACCCATCTATTTATGCTGAAAACCCATATCTTTGCGGGTCTCCACTTCCAAATAAGTGTCTTGGGGATGAATTGCATCCAGGTGCTGGGAATGAAGATGACAACGACAGCAAAGATAAGGTAGAAAAAATATGGTTCTTCTTTATCATAGCAGTTGGCTTTGCAACTGGTTTCTGGGGAGTTATTGCGGTCTTACTGTTGAAAAAGAGTTTTAGGTTTGCTTACTTTAAATGGGTGGACGAAAAAGCAGATGATATTTATGTGGCAATGGTAATTAAGATGGCAAGGTTAAAGAAGTTGATGCCGATGAAAAATCGTATCCGTGGTTGAGTGTTGTTTCTTCTCTCCTTCCTTTCCTAGAATGTCTCGGTGGCAAGTTGAATAAGGTTTATGTTTGCTTTCTAATTTTATCTTTAGAAGATAGTATGTTGTTTGGCTTTTTGTAATTTAAAACTTGCACTGAATGATTGCATTAGACTAATCGATAGACTCTAGTTAAACCTTTTAATCTATTCAAATGGAAGATTAAAGAAATCCTCCATTGCCTTGCATTATATTACAAGCGATTAGCATTGAAAAAAAAAACAGAACGGTTATTACACTGAAAAACCATATTAATTCACACAATAACATCACATTTTCTAAGAAGTCAGTACAAGACGATTGCATAATACCTATTGTACCTAATAATCTTTCCTGAAGGATCAACTTATTCATCAAAAAAATTGTTATGAAGACAGAAAAAGCAAAATACTTTTTACTTCCAAAAAGTATACCCTTTTTTGTAACTTTCAATCCTAAAGTAATTTATTTTAATCTGAAATCACATTTTAAATGAAAATATGACTTTTCTAGTTTAATCAAATGGAGGATACACAGGAGCATCTGAATATTAATACAACGTTACCTTTTTTATCATATCATTTATCGTGTCACTACCATCCCTCGTCCCTAAGCCGCATCACCTCCGCACGATGCCGATCTTTCTCCAAACGGAGCACCTTCTTCCCATCCCCAAATGTCCTTTGAATGTTTTTTTATCTCTGATTGATTTAACAATAATAAACACAGTGAAAAGAAGACTGGGAGTAGAACATTATCTCTTCATGTAAAGCTAAGCCCAATAATAACGAAATATTTACACGATTTAAAATTATTTATACGAAGTTGACAAAAAAAGAGTATTAATATTTATAATTTTTTAGTATTACTTTTATAAATAGTATTAAGTCATTCATAATCTGATGAATAATATTTTACATTGACATCTCATATCCAAAACTCACCCAACTCTGTCAATGTCACGGCCTCAATTAACACAAATTTCTTCGTGCATTGACGCCGTTTACTTTATATTGATCATGAATATGGAAAAACCAGACACGAATAATAAAGAAGTGTAACTGTCAACAAATAGAACACATGTATGTATCCTACATTTGTTTTATTTTAATCAGTAAAACTGTATGATCCTTACTTGTCAAGAATAATCTTTTAGCAAACATGAGAGCGGTTCCAAGCCTTACGTTCCTTGTGCTTCTGTTGTTCATTATTGCACCTCTTCAATTATCCTGGTGCAGAAATGGACACATAATGCAAGAGAGACAAGCTCTTGAGAAACTCAAAGAAAGTTTCAGCAACAATTCCTTGTTTGATTCTTGGGAAGGAGATGATTACTGCCAGTGGAAAGGAGTTGGATGTGATGTTATGACGGGTCATGTTGTGAAGCTTGCACTAGGACAAAACATATGCGGATGCCATCATACAATATATTTTGGATGCATGTGTCCATTAGTAACTGATGAATTGAACTCTTCTTTACTCCAGTTGAAACACTTGAATTACTTGGACTTGAGCGCAACCTTTTTTCGCGGTGGCAAAATACCAACTTTCATCGGTTCCATGAAACAACTCACATATCTTAACCTTTCTTACTGTGGATTCAGTGGGAACCTTCCTCACCATCTTGGTAATCTTTCCAATTTGCACACTCTTGATGTCAGCGAATATTTCTTTTCTTTATATGCTAGCGACGTAGTTTGGCTTTCAAAGCTTTCATCACTCAAACACCTTGCAATGAATGGTGTGTCCCTTGGGAAGGCATATAATCTATTTCAGGCACTTGACATGCTTCTTTTTTTGTCACGAGTAGAGCTACATCGATGTGAACTCACCAACATGCAAATTCCCGGTAGCCGAGTTAATTCTACGTTTCTTACTAATGTTCAAGCTCTGAATCTTGCACAGAATTTTCTTAGTGGCCCAATTCCTAATGCTTTTCAAAACTTGACTTCAATTCGAGACCTCAACCTCGGTCATAATAATCTTACCTCAGTTCCATATTGGTTGACAAGTCTTCATGCCCTTGTCCACCTTCATCTTTTTTATAACCCCTTCAAAAGAATTGAAGCCTCCGTGTTATCTATCTTGACAAACATGTGTTCTCTCCGAACACTAGATTTGTCATACAGCATGGCTGTTTTAGGAGGGTCAGGACTAAGTCAAGGAAACTATTCGGGATGTAAGAGATACGAATTAGAAGTTTTGATGTTGAGGGGAACTAAGATTAGGGACAGTTTGCCTTCTTGGTTTGGAGAGTTGGAGAATTTGAAAAGCCTTGATCTTGGAATGAATGAATTCTATGGTCCAATTCCATTTTCCTTTGGGAATTTGTTGGCCCTGACAACATTAGATCTTTCAGGAAATCTTCTGGATGGCTCTATTCCAACTTACATAGAAGCATTGTCTGAACTTACGGCTTTGCATCTTTCAAATAATCAACTACATGGGTCCATTCCAACTACCCTTGGACGACTGTCTTCTTTACTTGAGTTAGATCTTTCTAGTAATCACTTGAATGGAAGCATTCCTGATAGCCTTGGACGTTTGTCTTCTTTGGGTGTATTGGATCTATCTAATAATCACTTGAGTGGAAGCATTCCCAAAAGCCTTGAAAAACTGGCGAATCTAATGATCTTAAAGGTAGCTAATAACTCCTTGACAGGTACCGTACCAAAAATTCACCTTGGGACACACTTTCCTCTTTGGCTTCAATCAGAAGAGCAGGTCTCTACATTAGATATCTCCAACAATCAGATCGGTGGATCTATTCCAAAAGATTTCGGTCATTATCTTCCACACTTGTACAAGTTAAATTTCCAAAATAACCTTATAAAAGGTTCAATACCAGACTCCTTGTGCAAAATGGAGATGTTGTTCTATCTTGATCTCTCCACAAACAGACTTTCGGGTGAAATTCCTAACTGTTGGGGAAATCAAGCATTTTCAATCCTAAATTTGGCCTCAAATCAGCTATCAGGTGCCATTCCGAGCTCCTTCGGGAATCTTTCAGTGGGATGGTTGAATTTGAGCAATAATAGTCTCCAGGGTGAGCCTTTTCAAGCCTTGAAAAGGATTGGACGTTTGATGATCTTGGATCTAGGAGTGAATCAGCTTTCAGGGGAGATACCTTCTTGGTGGGTAGTGAAAACTTTTCCTATTCTTGAAAATCTGAGACTGAGACAGAACATGTTCAGTGGTGATATTCCAACATCCATCTGCCACCTCCCTTATTTGCAAATCTTGGATCTTGCTGATAATAATTTCTCAGGTTCAATCCCTCCTTGCATTGGTAATCTCAAGGGTATGGTGAAAAATGCAGAAACAGCACCATATGAGACTGCACTGGCACCAATAGAAGCCACATTACCGGAGGCAGCAATGCTACCTAAGGAACAATGGGACAACGAAGGTTTCAAGCAAGTCTTGAAAGGTTTTGAACAAGATTACACAAAAACTTTGCAGTATTTGGTAAACATAGACTTGTCAAATAACAGTCTCATTGGATCAATCCCTGAAGGCTTTACTTCCCTTTCTGGCTTGATTGGATTGAACTTATCTCTGAATCAATTGTCAGGAAAAATCCCAAGCAATATTCAACAAATGAAGTCACTGGAATCCATTGACTTTTCCAATAATCACCTTCTTGGTCCTATCCCCACCAGCATGTCCAACATGGATAATCTAGGCTTCTTAAACTTATCCAACAATAATTTCTCTGGTCCAATTCCAAGAAATGATCATTTCCTTACCTTTGATGAACTATCTTTTGCTGGCAATCCATGTCTCTGTGGAGAACCTCTAAAGAGTAAATGTTTCAATGGTGATGAGATGTTCACCGCTACTAGCAATAGAGAAAACAGTAGTAAGAAAGAAAAGGTATTGTTTTACTTTGTCATTGCACTTGGTTTCATAACAGGCTTTTGGGCATTCTTTGGAATGTTGCTGTTGAAGAAGAATTGGAGGCATGCTTACTTCTGTTACGTGGATGATGTTGCAGATAAAATGTATGTAGCAATAATGGTAAGGCTAACAAGGCTCAGAATATGAATGAGGAGAAAGTTCAAACTTCAATGAATCATGAAATGACAGCCACTGCACTTCCCAACTTAATAACGTGGGTAGTCTAGAATATGTCAAATGTGTTTTTCAATTTCGAATTAAGCATGTCGATGGTAAAGAGTATTTATACTCTGTTTCACTTTGAATACAATGTCCAATAATGTTACCATGTTCATTTTCATCTTTATAATATGCTCTCTTTTTTTCTCAGGGTTTCTAGCGTAATTAGTTGACTTCTTTTTTCCTGCATTGTATTGAAAATACTTCTTTTACTTAAGAATAATTTATGGAAAAAATATAACTTAAAAAAGAAAGAATTCGTTTATTTATTAAAAAAAAAAAACAGAGTATGTCTCCCCTATTATTATTAGGCATTGTTCCACAGATGCTATTCAAAATAAATTAGAGTTAATCAATGTTCAAGCTTGTTAATTATATGTAGTTGATTATGCACGCAACCTTGTTGATTCTCTTGTAAACCTATGGGTGAGGTAGCTAGTCGAAGGATGAACAATTGAACATCAAGGACCTGCAAATTATGTACACATAGACTGCAAGGCTAAGTAATACGTTACCTTTGTTTTCTGAAAAATAGAAAAAACAAAACTGAATTAAGAGCTCAGTAAAAAAATTTCCTTGCTAACCACATTTGCAAGTACTTATATTTGGATAGCCATGTCATATAGTTGATGACGAAATCTAAAATAAGTATGCCTGTATCTCCTGTTGAAGAAAATGGCACCCAAAATTTTGGGGAGTTTGAACTCTCCAAAACCCCATGGCAAATCCAATTTCCAAGCCCATAGAACAATGAATACACTTCAAATTTATTATCATCTTCTTTAATCATTTTTGTATTGTGGAATTTTCTTAAGCTTGTTTTACTATTTTAAATAGAAAGAAAGGAATAGGTAATAAAAAGAAAATGACGGGTAAGAGAAAAAAAATTACAAAGAATGTTAGAAAATGTATATAAATCAAGTTATTGAAAAGCAAGGTCCGTTATTGACCTTTTCGAAACCAGGCAAAATAGAAAATTAAGATCCTTTAAAAAATTACAAAATATAATAAATAAAATAAAAATATATATTAATAATTTTATTAAAATAATACTTTTTTTAAGTGGCTATAATTTTTCTGATAAAATTATAAAAAAAAAAATTTCTTTCATTTAAACAATTTCTATGTTATAATTAATTACAAAAACATAAAAAATCATTAAAAATTAGTTTTATGAACATTTTGAGATGTAAAATCATTAATAATAACATTAACATTAATATTTTTTAAAAATTATTTATTGATTGATAAAATTGTCAGACCATTTAACAGTTCTTATGACATTGATGACCTTAGGTATGTTTTGATTAACTTTAACTTTAAAAAATTTATTTCAGTTGATGATATACTCATCGGGATTGTAAAAAAATTCTATAAGTGATTAAAACATTTATATAACAATCTGTAAATTTGACAAACTCAATAACTATTTAATTTTTTAGAGAAAACTAAAATTTTGCATGAGCTTTAATACTAAGAATAGTAAAATTTTAAAATTAAATAAAGTTTTGAGTTTACAAAAGTCAAAGAGTTAATTACGTTTATAGCAAGTGTAATGCAAAAAATTAAAAGGTCTTTTTTATTTTTCTATTTTTTTAACTGCAAGAACTAAAATTTTTTTTAAGTGAAAATAAGACGATTTTTACTTTGAACTTTTTTATAAGCTTGGGCCTAGATGATTGCACCTCTAAACTACCCTTAAGACTGGGCTGCTAAAAAGTTAATACTACTCCCATTTGCATTTTAGCTTTTATATAGAATAATAATTGATAGATACTATATTCTTTTGGACAATATAACAAATTATTAGAGAGAAACAGTCAAATGCGGTTGAAAAGAAAAAGGAGGTAAACTATCTCCTTAACAAAGACAAAGAAGAAAGGACACTCAAAGAAGATAAAACAAGCTCTCGAGTCCCTTTTGCATCTTTATCTAATCAACACAAAATCAGACTTCATCCATGTTCAAAATTGGAACTAGCAAAATTCAAAAGCCTGAATGCTAAGGAATTAAGCCCTTGCCCCATAATTTCGAATGTTACATTCATAGGAATATAAAATTAATGGTTTAAATCATTATCCCACAATTTTCTTAGATGAAGTAAATTAGGGTCATTAATAACAAGCCAAGCAATACAATATGGGAAAATATTTCTTGAGAAAATATCAGTGGCGCAAAATCATGTTAATTTAATGAGTGCCCGATCCAAATTTTCTGGAATATAATATTGGATTAATGCTTCATTCTCTGTTAATATTTTCTTAATTGTCCACCCATGCTTCTCCTCAAAATGTATATCCCACTAGTAAGTGGTCTTGCAAATGCCATACTCTATATTCTTTAAAATTTTCAGCAGTGAAACAGAAGCTTCAATTTTATTTTTCCTCTCCTTTCTTTTACTATTTTTCAATTGTTTTCCCTTAAGATGGATGATATATACAACAAGAAGATAAAGAGTGCAGAGTCGAAGAAGACTCTTAAATTTTGGAATTCAAACTTGATGCAACTACACGTCAATTTTATGTACCTAAACGGCCATAAAGTCATAGTCTTACGATAAAATTGGTTGTGCATTGACGCAGTTCACTTTCTCTATCAATTTGATTGACTTTGGTGAGTTTTGTCTGCAGCTCTTGCTACCGAAGAAATTTCAAGGAAACTTTGTGTGAAAAGACTAGTGAATGTTTAAAAATGTGTACATACAAAAACGATTAAAAAATTAATAAGAATAATTGTATATAATATGACGTAGTAATATTAATTTTTAAATACTCAAATGACAAAACTGGTAAACATAAAGGAAAATGCTCACGAAAGTTCTTAGAGAAATATAGTACGAGGAAGGTTCCTATCATATATACCTAGGAGAACAAAAACAAATAAATAAATGTTCAGTCAGCAAGTCGTGTAAAAGTTAAAAGAATAAAAAAATAAAAAAAAATATATTATTCAATATTTTAAAAGTTAAAGTCTCAATTCTTTTTGTTTATTTTTTATGGGTAATTTTTAACAGGTCCACTCTTAAGTTTTTGATAAATAAATACATATATGATCTGGCACTTACCGGCTAGTATATTGGAAATTGCTAAATTGTAATGAGTGGTGAAAACAACTTAACGCTAGAAAAAATTGTTAACAACGTAATTTTTAACATATTTTTAATTATTGATTAAAATTTATTAAAAATTAAAAAATATAAAAATATAGTAAAAAATAGTAGAATTCATATTTTTTTATTATTTTCAATAAATTTATCCATTAAAAAAATGTTTTAAAAAATGTTATTAGTGTTCTTCTAACAATATTTTTACCCTGATTTCTGTGATATTTAATTTAAATTTAACCAATGAAAACTTAATTTCATCAAATTTCGTGTTCATGTTTCGTACCATTACTATATTCATCTCTTTCTATATACAAGTCAATTGGTGGTGACTCACATCTTTTGGTGATCAATCTTTACATTGAAAATAGTAAATAAAAGTACGTTAGACGGAAACACACGAGGTACTCAAATTATCAAAGCAAATGCACCGTGACGTGTAATATTCCAATATGGTGCAGTTTCTTTCTCTATGTGTGTATATATATATGGTGCAGTTTATATCCATTATTAGCCATAAACAATCATTGGGCAACATGAGAGCGAACTCAAACGCTGTGCTCCTTATGATTTTGATGTTCATTATAACGTCTTTACAATTGTGCATGTGCAGAAATTCAACCTCTGGCCACATTACACAAGAGCAACAAGCTCTTATAAACTTCAAAGAAAGTTTCAGTGGCAGTGATTCCATGCTATTATCCTGGGAAGGAAATGATTACTGCCAGTGGGAAGGAGTGGCATGTGATGGTATCACTGGACATGTTCTGAAGCTTGATCTTCGACAAACATGTAGTTTGTGCCCAGTGTTAAGAGCTAGTGATGTTAACAGTTCTATACTAGAGTTGAAACAATTGAATTACTTGGACTTGAGTGGAATCCAATTTGATATTGGCCCAATACCAGCGTTTCTCGGTTCCATGAAACAACTGAGATATCTTAACCTCTCTTACTGTGGATTCATTGGCAAGGTTCCTCCCAGTCTTGGTAATCTTTCAAACTTGCAAGTTCTTGATATCAGCGGTTATTTATTTTCTCTCTATGCTGATGATGTGGGTTGGCTTTCAAAGCTTTCATCACTCAAACACCTTGCAATGAATGGTGTGTCCCTTGGGAATGCATATAATCTATTCCAGGTAATTGACAAGTTTCCTTTTTTGTTGCAAGTGGAGCTTTGTGGATGTGGACTTACCAACATGCACATTATTCCTAGTGGGCCTGTTAATTCCACGTTTCTTGCTAATGTTCAAGTTATCAATCTTGCACTAAATTCACTTTCTGGTCCTATCCCTGATGCTTTTCGAAACCTTACTTCAATTCGAGACCTCAACCTTGGTTATAATAATCTCACTTCAGTTCCATATTGGTTGATTGATCTTGATTCCCTTGTACACCTTAATATTTCGGGCAATCCCTTCAAGAGGATTGAAACATCCGTGTTATCTATGTTAACAAACATGTGCTCTCTCCAATCATTAGATTTGTCATATAGCATGGTTGTTCTAGGAGGGGCGGGACTAATGAGTCAAAATGGAAACTATTCGGGTTGTAGGAGATACAATTTAGAAGTTTTAATGCTTAGGGGAAGTGGAATTAAGGAAAGTTTGCCATTTTGGATTGGAGAGCTGGTGAATTTGAAAAGCCTTGATCTTGGAATGAATGAATTCTATGGTCCAATTCCATTATCCTTTGGAAATTTGTTGGCCTTGAGAACATTAGATCTTTCAGGAAATCTTTTGAATGGGACTATTCCAACTTCCATTGATGCATTCTCTGAATTAACGGCTTTACGCCTTTCAGATAATCAACTACATGGGTCTATTCCAACTACGTTTGGACGATTATTTTCTTTACGTGAATTAAAGCTTTCTAATAATCACTTGAATGGAAGCATTCCTGAAAGCATTGGACAATTGGGGAATCTATTGAGCTTAAGTGTAGCTAATAACTCTTTGACCGGTATCATATCAGAGATTCATTTTAGTAATCTCTCAAATTTGATAGATTTACAAATAGGATTCAACAATCTTACTCTGAAGATTGAATCCAATTGGACACCACCTTTCAATTTAGAAAGCCTTGGATTGGCATCTTGCAATATTGAGTCACATTTTCCTTTGTGGCTTCAAACACAGGACCAGCTATCCACATTAGATATCTCCAACAATCAGATCAGTGGATCTATTCCAAAAGATTTTGGTCATCATCTTCCAAACCTGTATAGGTTAAATCTTCAAAGTAACCTTATAGAAGGTTCAATACCATACTCTTTGTGCGAGATGGAGATATTGTTTGTTCTTGATCTTTCAGAAAACAAACTTTCTGGAAAAATCCCTGATTGTTGGGGAGGAAAAATATTGTCAATCTTAAATCTAGCCTCAAATAAGCTATCAGGTACCATTCCAAGCTCATTTGGGAGTCTTATGTTGGGATGGTTGAATTTGAGCAACAACAGTCTCAGTGGAGAGCCTCTTCTTGTCTTGAAAAACACTCAATCATTGCAAATTTTAGATCTTGGTATGAATCAATTCACAGGGATGATACCTTCCTGGTGGATAGTAAAAACTTTTTATCAACTTCAAAATCTGAGATTGCGGCAGAATTTGTTCAGTGGTGATATTCCAGCATCCCTCTGCCAGCTTCCTTTTTTGCGAATTCTGGATCTTGCTGAGAATAACTTCTCAGGTTCAATTCCTCCTTGCATTGGTCATCTCAGAAGTATGGTGAAAAATGCAGCCACAACGCCATATGAGAGTGCATTGGCACCCATGATGGAAGCTGGAGCACCAACAGTGGTAGCGGATGAACAATGGGGAAAGGAGGATTTGAAGCAGGTCTTGAAAGGATATGAGCTAGATTACACAAAAAATTTGAAGTATTTGGTGAACATAGACTTGTCAAATAACAGTCTCATTGGATCAATCCCTGATGGCTTAACCTCTCTTTCTGGATTGATTGGCTTAAACTTAGCACATAATCACTTGTCAGGAAAAATCCCAAGCAGTATACAACAAATGAGCTCATTGGAATCAATTGACTTTTCCAATAACAACCTTTATGGTCCTATCCCCACCAGCATGTCCAACATGGATAATCTAGGCTTCTTAAACTTATCCAACAATAATTTCTCTGGTCCAATTCCAAGAAATGATCATTTCCTCACTTTTGATGAACCATCTTTTGTTGGCAATCCTTATCTTTGTGGAGAACCCTTAAAGAATAAATGTTTTGGCGGTGATGAGGTACCTTCGAGCATGGCTCATGAAGACAACAGTGGGAACGGTGATCAGAAAGAAAAGGTGCTGTTTTACTTTGTCACTGCACTTGGCTTCATAACAGGATTTTGGGCATTCTTTGGAACTCTTCTGTTGAAGAAGAAATGGAGGCATGCATACTTCCATTACATGGATGAGGTTGCGGGTAAGATGTATGTAGCAACAATGGTGAGGGTAGCCAGGCTCAAAAGGTGATTATGGAGAACCTACTTTGATGAATCATGGGATGACAATCAATGCATCTGTCAAATAAATCAAGTATGTTTTACTCCCATTGTTTCAGTTAGAATTCAATGTGTGTGTTACTATGATCATTTCATCTTTATAATATGCTACCTTTTTCCTTAGTTCATGGCATAATTAGTAGTCTTAACATGATTTCTGTCAGAAGATGCATTCATTCCCTTTTCAGTAGTCTTATTGAATTTCTGGTTAGTGTATCGGAATAATGATGCCTTACGTGTTCTTGTTAAAGTTTTATTCAGTAGTTGTTTGTGCGTGTCCAATCTGATTCTTGCGTAGTATGTTCCAAGTTTTGTAGGATCTCATTTTTATTGTAGTTTGTTTTGCACATTATTAGATTCATATTCATATCCAAAAATTACTTTGCATCTGCATTAATCTTATATTTATAAATTCAGTTTGATAGTATATGTTATGCTTACAAATAATAAAAAAAAATTCTCCACAGATGCGAGCATTATATAATTTTGTCAATCCAAACATTGGTTATTAAGCACAGTTGAAATTGGATAGCGACATAGAAAGGGACACAGAGAAACATATGAAATTACTCAATCAATATCACATAAACTTGCTTTATTTGTATAGAAGAGCTCAGATGTTCGTGCAAAATAATATATCTTTCATAAACAGAATCCCTTCAAGATGATTGTGATGAAAATGTACGTCACTTTTTCTTGGTTCAAGATGAACATCACTCTGATAAATATTTTACATAGAAAATATTTCTAGAGTTCATTGAACTTAATCTTTTATTGAAAGGAGTTATTTGATTTTGGTTGAAAGTATGAAATCATGACAATGGAAGTAGCGGAATGTTTAGTTTAAAATTGAATGTTGATCTCCACTACAAGTGCTTCACTGTTTCATAAATGATTTCTTGGGATGATAATGAAGTTCCTAAATAATTCAAAGTAAAGAAAATAATATATTGAAAATAAATGCAACGTAAAAGTGAATGCATTGTGTCATTATCTGACGACAACTTTGGGATTGGGAATCCCTCAACGCAAGCATTCGGGTCTCTTCAACGCAACCTCTAGTTGACGTGGCCACCCAGTCAATGTTTATGTCGCTAAATGAGACGAATGTAGGGGGTTTTAATTTGATCAGAAAAGCAAATAAACAATGTAAAGAATAGAAAACATATTTTGTTTTAGAACACACATTATACGATAACTTGAACAGAACACTAGAACAGGGCACCTGAAAGGCAACGAAAAAGTCTAATAAGAAATTTCTGGTGCATTGATAAGTTTGATTAATCCCTTCCACACTTGAAGCAGACGAATATGGTGGTTGACTGAAAATGGAGTCAGTCTTCCACTACGCGTGACTGAAAAAGTTAATGGATTTGAAATCAGATACCAACTTGAAATTATTTGTGTTTTCCGAACCGTTTTATAACAACTTTCATATTTTTTGAGTGTTCAAATTGTAATTTTCATACTCGTTACTCACAGTTCGTTTACTCAAATATAATTTATCATGATTTTTTTTATGAAGCATAAATATTATTATAAAATTTAGATCTTTTTTGAAAATACTCCAACAAAATATAAAATTATATATAAAATCATTTATATAAAGCTAGATAAAATATAATAAAACATTAAATTATAATGTAATATATGTATAAAATTATTTATCTAAATTTTAATTTTAATTATAAATAGCTTATGAGATGTATGATATCAACACTATAATATTTGTACTTGTCAAATTTTGTAGATATTTATTCATATTCGTACTAACGTATATTTACCCACTCATCACGGATGTTTTTTCAATACTCAAATAAATTAAAATGTATAAACTAAAAGCTTGACTTGACAATTGAATAAAAATTTAATCACATGATAATTATGATTTGATGATAATATGGATTTATTTACATTATTAGTGTATATTAATTAAATTTATATTCATACATATATCATAAAAAATTAATTGCATTAGTTCTTATGATAAAATAAATTAATTTTACTAAATATTGCAGTTAAAGTATACTAACTAACTACTCGTACTTTATTACTTTACCATCTATTGGAATAGTAAGTTAATAAGAAATATTCCTAATTATTAAAATAAATAATGAAAGCTAGAGTTGATGAATCCTGTTATCCCCACACGCTATACATGACCATAGGAACGTTTTTGTGAGGCACAAAAATTAAAATTAAAATATTGGGTTTTAAGATTGTGATGAATTTAAATGTATAAACTTGAAAGCTTGAAAAGTGATTCTGGAGTGTGTATATATAAGTGAAGTGAGAGGCATTATGCAAAAGCACCGTTACCTTACAAAACATGAGAAGTTACATAAGTGCTGCATTTGCGGTACTTTTGCTGTTGGCTGAAATTATTGCACAAATTCAATTATGTTTGTGTGCAAATTCAACGGTCCCATGCATAGGAAAAGAGAGAGAGGCCCTTGTCAAATTCAAAGCCTCCCTCATCCAAGATGCTTCATCAAACAGGCTTTCCTCATGGAGAGGTGCTGATTGTTGCAAATGGGAAGGAATAGAGTGTGACAATGTGACCGGACATGTTCTCAAACTTGATCTCCGCAATCCTTGTTCCCGACCATCTTCGCTGACAGAAGATCAAATCTTCGTCGCTCCACAAGAGTGTGATTATGATGACACTTGGTACCACCTTTCCGTACGAGCTCCAAATGTTGATCCAAGTCTGTTGCAGTTGGAACACTTGACTTATTTGGACTTACGTGGAAATGATTTCAGTCAGAGTCAAATACCAATGTTCTTCGGTTCTATGCGACGTCTCAGGTATCTTTCTCTCTCTCAATCAAATTTTGGTGGCAGGATTCCAAGCACCCTAGGGAATCTCAAGAACCTGCGCCTTCTTGATCTCCGTTGGAATGATGATTTAAAAGCCAATGACATCAATTGGGTCTCTAAACTTGAGTCATTGGAACACCTTGACATGAGCGGTGTTTATCTCGGGAACACACACAATTTGTTCCAGCTACTTAACACGCTTCCTTCCTTGTTAAGTATTTACTTGCGTGATTGTGGTATTCACAATTCACTCGTTCCTCTTGTTAATCTCACTAAAGTTCAAGTCCTGGACCTTAGAGTAAATCAATTTACACTACCACTTATCTGTTAGGACCAGAGTATTAGTATAATAACACACAACTAAAATAAGAGATGAAAAATAAGAGCCAATAAAGACAATATAAAATTATCACAGAAGAAAAAATTACACTACTCCTCACTCTAAAATTTACTCCTCAAAATAGGAGACTATTACTACCAAGTACAAGCTCGGTGTAATACAAAATGAAAGGGAATGAGAGGATTTTGGGATGGAATGATTAGTAAGACCCCTTGCCCTTTTATAAGCAAAGGAGGGGTCCTATCCCCTTTACTCCCACCGATGTGGGATTTACAATTCTCCCACTTGAAGATTATGATTAAGTTAATTATATCTTCACACATTCCTAATATATTACAATTATATGTTGCTTATATTCCTAATAGGCTATACAAGGATCGACACCATGTAAACTTGTCATTGTTCACTGGCTTTGTCATTATGTCTGCTATGTTGTTTTTGGTGTGAATCTTTTGCATATCCACTCTACCTTCCTCTACTACTTCATGAACAAAGTGGTATTGTATACCTATGTGCTTTGTTCTGGAATGAAAAGCTGGATTCTTTGCAATATGCAAAGCACTTTGACTGTCACAATACACAATTGTAGTCTGTTGTTTGTGCCCAAGTTCCTCCAATAGCCTTTGAATACAGATTGCTTCCTTGCATGCCTCAGTAGCTGCTATGTATTCAGCTTCTGTAGTAGACAAAGCCACAACAGTCTGCAACTTAGATAACCAGCTTACTGCCCCTCCAGCAAGTGTAAACACATAACCAGTAGTATATTTCCTTTTATCCAGATCTCCTGCAAAATCTGAATCAACATAGCCTTTCACAATAAATTCTGATCCTTCAAAACATAATGCAACATTAGAGGTTCCTTTTATGTATCTAAGGATCCTCTTTACAACATTCCAATGCTCTCTACCAGGATCTGCCATGTACCTACTGACTGCTCCCACTGCTTGTGCAATGTCTGGTCTAGTACAAATCATGGCATACATAAGGCTTCCCGCCGCTGATGCATACGGCACTCGAGACATTTCCATCCTCTCCGCTTTATTGCTAGGACACATACTTGAGGATAATTTATAACTGACAGGAAGTGGGGTAGAGATTGGCTTACAGTCTTGCATATTGAAGCGCCGCAAGACTTTACGAAGATAATTCTTTTGAGAGAGCCAAATCTTCCTATCTTTTCTGTCTCGGTGTATTTGCATCCCTAAAATCATGTTTGCTGGTCCTAAGTCCTTCATATCAAACTCCCTAGCTAATTGTGCCTTCAATTCTTGAATTCGATCTTTGCTGGGGCCTACCACCAGCATGTCATCCACATACAACAACAAAATGATGAAATCATTATCACCAAACCTCTTGTAATACGTACAATGGTCTGAACTCAGTCTGTTGTATCTGAGGCTAATAATGAAGGAACCAAATCTCTTGTACCAACACCTTGACGCCTGTTTTAAACTGTACAGAGATTTGGTCAACCTGCAAACCAAGTCTTCCTTTCCTTGTTCTTCAAAACCTTCTGGTTGGAGCATATATATTTCCTCTTCAAGTTCTCCATGTAGAAAAGCAGTCTTTACATCAAGTTGCTCAAGATGTAAATCAAATGCAGCACACATTGCCAGAACAATTCTGATTGTGGTTAATCGAACAACTGGAGAGAATATCTCGTTGAAATCAATGCCTTCATTCTGAGCATATCCTTTAACCACTAATCTTGCACGATACCGCTCCACTTGATCATTACCATCTTGTTTGATTTTATAGACCCATTTACAACCAATGGCTTTTCGATCTTTTGGAAGTTCAACAAGTTTCCATGTCTTGTTTTTATGTAAGGCCTCAATTTCTTCCTGCATTGCTGTCATCCATAATGAAGCATCTGAACTCCTCAAAGCCTCATGAAAGGTTGATGGTTCTCCTTCATCTGTTAGAAGACAATATGCATCGTGGCTTGCCATCACATAGTCTGAGTGCCAAGATGGTCTACTTATCTCACGTCTTGTTTGTTGAGTTTCTCCATCATTGGCATCATTTGATTCTTGTTCTCCGTGCTCTTGTTCTGCTTCAGAGTTGTCATCTTCTTTAGCTTTCCTTTCTATCACTACTGAAGTAGTGTCTTTGGTAGTACTGTCATCTTTCTGCTCATTTTGCAGTTCATTTTCTGCAAAGACTACATCTCTGCTAACAGCAACCTTGCAAGCAGTGGGATCCCATAAGCGATACCCCTTAACATTGTCAGCATAACCCAAGAATATACATTTCCTGGATTTTGGATCCAGTTTTGTTCTTTCTTGGGAATTGTACATCACGTACACAGGACATCCAAACACATGTAATGAAGAATAATTAGGTGGCTTTCCATTCCATATCTCCATTGGTGTCTTCAAACCAATTGTTGTTGATGGTGATCGGTTTATTACATAACAGGCAGTTTTCACTGCTTCTGCCCAGAAAGATTTAGCCACTCCTGCTGTTCTTAGCATAACTCTTGTTCTTTCTAGAAGAGTTCTGTTCATCCGCTCTGCTACACCATTCTGCTGAGGTGTATAAGGCACTGTGAATTGCCTTGAAATACCCTCTTGCTTGCAAAATGCCAGAAAATCACTAGTGCTTTGAATTCCTTGAACACTGGAAACACATCTGACTTCTTTTTGATTGGGTACACCCATAATCTCCTTGAGTGATCATCAATGAATGATACAAAATATTTTGCTCCTCCAATAGATACTTCCGGTGATTCCCATACATCAGAATGAATCAAGTCCACTATGTGTCTGCTTCTTGTAGTCACGTTGCCAAACTTCAATCTATGCTGCTTACTTGTCACACAGTGCTCACAAAATGGTAAGGTTACCATTTTGAGCCCGGGCAAGAGATTACGTTCTGCTAGAATTTTCAGGCCTCGTTCTGACATATGACCAAGTCTACGATGCCACATCATTGTTTCTTCTTCTTGACTAATTGCAACTAATGCATCTGCTTCTTTCAACGTATCTCCCAAAAGCATGTATAAATTGGTTGTGATCTTTTCTGCTTTTATCACCACCAAGTTGCCTTTAACCACTTTCAAGATTCCACCTTCAATATGGATCTTGCAATTGAGGTCATCCAATTGCCCAATGGACAATAGATTCTTTTTTAAGCCTTTCACATGTCGTACTCCTTGAATTGTATGAATAGTACCATCATGCATTTTTAATTTGACAGTACCAATTCCAGCAATTTCTAGGGCATGATCATTTCCCATGAACACGGATCCTCCTGAGATAGGTTCATAATTGTAAAACCAGTCTCGACATGGAGTCATGTGCCAGGTTGCACCTGAATCCAATATCCAACATTCATGAAGTTGTCTTCCACCTCTAGATTTTACTGCTTCACTATATAAGATTTCACCATCATCTGAAGTACTTGCAACACAACCTTGAGAGGTTGATGCTTCAATATTCTTCCCTCCTCCACTCTTCTTGTTCCAACAATCTTTCTTCACGTGCCCTCTCTTGCCACAGTTGTAGCATTTGAGGTTCTTCCTTCTCTGAGATTTTGATCTACCATGATTCTGGCTCCCACTGGAACCACGTTCCATTGATCTTCCTCTCATCATCGTCAACGCTTCTGCCTGTTTAGAATTTTTCAGTCTATCTTCCTTATTCTTTCTCCTGGATTCTTCTTCAAGAACTGCTCCAACAACATCATCAAAGGATAGACGATCGATAATGTTGTTGTTTGTTATATTGATGATGAGTTGATCATATGAATCTGGTAAACTCTGGAGTAGAAGCTCCGCACGTTCATTTTCTACTATGTTGAAATCTGCGGCTGTTGAAATCTGCGGCTGTAAGCTGAGCAAACAGTGTATTCAAATTGTTAATGTGGTCCGTTACTGATGTGGACTCACTAATTCGAAGAGTGTAGAGTTTCCTCTTCAAGAATATTCTGGTGTAAAGTGACTTGACCTCGTACAACTTGATCAGTGTGTCCCAAATCTCCTTTGCAGTCTTCTTCTCTGCAACACTGGATAACACTGAATCAGTCAATGCTAAGTGCAAATTGGCAACAACATTATTATCCATTTCTCTCCATTTTTCTTCTGAAATATCTGCAGGTCTGCCTTCAATTGCATCAAGACAATTTTTGTCTTTCCTCAAAATTGCTCTTATCTTCAATTTCCACAAGGAGAAATAACTCCTATGAAATTTCTCTATCTCATATTTTGCTGCCATAATTTCTCTCTTAATTATACCGACTTATGTAATTTTCACTGTAAATAGTACTACCTACTGGAACAATAATAATGGTAGACTGTGAATAAGTACACACTATATTTACACTTTTACACTACCAAAATTGTATATCCAGTAACAAGAATAATTCTTTTCTGATGTGGCAGATCAGATAATACTGCAACCACAGAGCATACTAAGAATTTTCTCTAGCACTATACCAATGTACATTACAGCGGAATAATATAAATAACCTAGTGGCTCTGATACCACTGTTAGGACCAGAGTATCAGTATAATAACACACAACTAAAATAAGAGATGACAAATAAGAGCCAATAAAGACAATATAAAATTATCACAGAAGAAAAAATTACACTACTCCTCACTCTAAAATTTACTCCTCAAAATAAGAGACTATTACTACCAAGTACAAGCTCGGTGTAATACAAAATGAGAGGGAAAGAGAGGATTTTGGGATGGAATGATTAGTAAGACCCCCTGCCCTTTTATAAGCAAAGGAGGGGTCCTATCCCCTTTACTCCCAACGATGTGGGACTTACATTCTCCATGCTTTCCAAAACATGACATCTCTTGTGCATCTTGATTTTTCATGGAATAGGTTAAATGGATCAATTCCTGATGCTTTCAGAAACATGACTTCCATTCAATTCCTTTACCTTCCTGGAAACAGTATCACTTCAATTCCGTCATGGTTTCCTGGCTTCAACAAGCTTGTGCATCTTGATCTTTCATACAATGACCTTCTTGGTCTTATTCCTGATGCTTTTCAAAACTTGACTTCTCTTCGGTTCCTTTACCTTTCTGGAAACGGTTTCACTTTAGTTCCTTCATGGTTTGCTGGGTTGAAGAACCTTGTCCACGTTTACCTTAATGGCAATAATATAACTTCAATTCCATCTTGGTTTCCAAACTTTGACAAACTCATGTATCTTGATCTTTCAGACAACAAGCTTCATGGCCCAATTCCTGATGCCTTCCAAAATATGCCTTCCATTAAGTTCCTCGACCTTTCAGAGGACCATTTCACTTCCGTTCCATCATGGTTTAATATCTTTAAGAAACTTGAGTTTCTTGATCTTTCATCCAATAGGCTTCATGATCATTCTGATTTCAGTAACACGTTATCAGACATTGGTAAACCAAGATTTCTTGATCTTTCTTTGAATGGGCTTGGTGGTGCAAATCCCCGTGCTTCAAGAAACATGTCATCACTTGTGTATCTTGATCTTTCCTGGAATTGGCTTCGTAGTCCAATCCTTGACAGTTTAAAAAATATGACTTCCATTCAATTCATTTACCTTGGTAACAACAATATTACTTCAATTCCACCCTGGTTCGGTGACTTTGACAAACTTCTGTATCTTGATCTTTCCCACAATGGGCTTCAAGGTCCAATTCCTGATACCTTCCAAAATATGCCATCCATTGAGTTCCTAGACCTTTCAGGGAACCATTTCACTTCGGTCCCATCATGGTTTCATATCTTCAAGAAACTTAAGTTCCTTGATCTTTCATCTAATAGGCTTCTTGACCGTTTTGACTACATTGGGAAACAAAGCTTTCTTGATCTTTCATTGAAAAGGCTTCACGGTGAAAATGCCCATGCTTCCAGAAACATGTAATCACTTGTGTATCTTGATCTTTCCCGGAATTGGCTTCGTAGTCCAATTGTTGACTGTTTCAAGAACATGACTTCCATTCAAGTCATTGACTTTGGTATCAACAATATTACTTCAATTCCACCATGGTTCGGTGACTTTGATAAACTTGTGTATCTTGATCTTTCACAAAATGGGCTTCAAGGTGCAATTCCAAATGCTTTTAGAAACATGTCATCACTTGAGCAACTTTTTCTGTTCAACAACAGTCTTAATTCAGTTCCACCGTGGTTTGGAAACTTAAAACTTGTGGATCTTGATCTTTCAATGAACATGCTCCACGGTCCAATTCCTGAGGCATTTCGAAACATGACTTCCATTCAATCTCTCGACCTTTCAGACAACGGTTTCACTTCAGTTCCATCATGGTTTGCTGAGTGGAAGAGCCTTGTCAATGTTTATCTTCGACAAAATAACCTTACTATTGTGGAATGTCCTCTTACATCAATTATCAGCAACATGTGTCATATAAAACGCTTATATTTATCTGGAAACAAGCTTCGAGGAGAATCATTGGAACACTACGAATTATCTCGATGCGATAGTAGGTATGGGTTGGAGGAACTGGATTTAAGTGATAATGAATTTAGTGATGGCTTGCCAACTTGGTTGGGGCAACTTGAAAATCTGGAGCTCCTGGATCTCAGTTCAAATTATTTCCATGGGCCCATTCCCTTCTCTCTAGCAAAACTATCAAAGTTGAAAAGTATATATCTATTTGATAATAAGTTGGATGGGACTCTTCACCAAAGTCTTGGGGAACTTGTGAATCTTCAATATCTTGATCTTTGGAACAATTCTCTTAAGGGCCCCATTCCTCAAAGTCTCTATGAACTTCAAAATCTACAATTCTTGGATCTTTCTTCAAATAAGTTAGACAGAATTTCTACGGGAAAAGAATGGTCTTCAATTATGCCCCGTTTAATGAATTTGAATTTTGCCAATAACAAAATCAGTGGTTCATTTCCAGAAAACATTGGCCACGTAATGCCCTGTGTGACAGGGTTGTCACTTAGAAATAACTTCATAATTGGTTCAATACCAATATCTTTGTGTCAAATGGAGTTGAGAAGCCTTGACCTTTCGAAGAACAACCTATCTGGTGAAATTCCAAATTGTTGGAAGGATAATGGACAATGGGAAGAAATAAATTTGTCATCCAACAAGCTATCGGGTGAGTTTCCAAGCTCATTCGTGAATCTTTCCACATTGTCATGGTTGCATTTGAACAATAACAGTTTTCAAGGGGAGCTTCCAATGTCTCTGAGAAATTTGAAGCAATTGGTGATTCTGGATTTTGGGGAGAATCAACTTTCTGGGAGTATACCATCATGGAATAATAACTCCTTTCCTTTACTACAAATTCTTAGACTGCGGCAAAACAGATTGAGTGGTAACATTCCTTCACAATTATGCAACCTCACATCACTGAAAATTTTGGACCTCTCCCGCAACAACTTAGAAGGATCAATACCGCAGTGCATAGGCAAGCTCAGAGGAATGACTTTAGACAAATCATTGAACAAAGCCAATAAAAAATTGGTTCCCTTGTCTAGCAGTGTGGCTTTTCGATGGGCATACGAGGAAGTCAAGGAAGTCATGAAAGGAATAGAATTTGATTATATTAAAATTTTGGAGTTAGTAGTTAACATGGACTTGTCGGAAAACAGTTTGGTTGGCTCCATTCCCAATGAAATAACTTGGCTCACTGGATTACATGGCTTGAATCTATCAAACAATCATTTGGAAGGAGAGATCCCTAAGATGACAGGGGATATGAAATCACTGGAATCATTGGATGTGTCACATAACCCCCTTTCAGGCACATTTCCAAAAAGCATGTCTGCTTTAACTTTACTGAGTCATTTAAACTTGTCACACAATAATCTTTCAGGACCAATTCCAAAAGATAAACAATTCTCAACTCTCGATGATCCATCTATTTATGCTGAAAACCCATATCTTTGCGGATCTCCACTTCCAAATACGTGTCCTGGCGATGAATTGCATCAAGGTGCTGGTAATGAAGATGATGATGACAGCAAAGATAAGGTAGAAAAAGTATGGTTCTTCTTTGTCATAGCAGTTGGCTTTGCAACTGGTTTCTGGGGAATTATTGCGGTCTTATTGTTGAAGAAGAGTTTTAGACTTGCTTACTTTGGATGGATGGATGAGAAAGCAGACAAGATTTATGTTTTTCTCATAGTGATGAGAAATCGCATTCATGGGTGAGACTACTTTTTCTCTCTTTCTTTTTATAAAATGTTTCAGTAGCAGCAAGCTGAATAAGGTTTATGTTGTTTTCTTTTCTTACTTTTTAATTTTATCTTTAGCAGATAGTATGCTGTTTGGCTTTTGTAATATATAACTTGTACTGAATGATTGTATTAGAGCAATAGATAGACTCTAGTTAAACCTTTTAATCTATTCAAATAGAAGCTTAGAGAAATCTTCCATGCCCTTGCACTATATTACCCGTGATTAGCATTGAAAAAGAAAAGCAGTTATTACAGTGAAAAACCATATTATTTCACACGACTTCACACTTTCTTAGAAGTCAGTACAAGACGATTGCATTATACCTACTCAGCCTAATAATATTTCTTGAAGGGTTAATTTATTCATCAAACAGAACCTGGAAAGGCAAAACGACTATTTGATCCTTTTTTTCAGTAAACTAATTTTCACCTCCAAAAATGTATACCCATTTTTGTAGCTCAATCCTAGAGTAATTTATTTAAATCTGAAATTACATTTTAAATGAAAATATTACTTTTTTTGTTTAATCAAATGGAGCATACACAAGAACATCTGATGACATTACTACTACAAAGAAGACTATATTTTAATTACATAATAATTTCCTCAAGTTTGGTTTAAGTCAACAAACCAAGTAAAATTAGATTATAAGCGTCTTGAGGTTACCCTCAGTTGAATTTCAATTTCTTAACACTTACATTTAAAACCAAGCTTAAGGGGCCGGGTGAAACATTGGCAGGAGGTTGAGAGAACTATGTTTCACGGAAGACAAATTGCATTTTCCTTTCATCTTTGGCCATGTAAAAAAATATTAGCAACACATTTTTTAACATATATCTTGCGATTAATTAAACATTCCCTTTAACCATCATTGTTATGATATACTTTCTAAGATTTAATTCGAATTTTTTTCACGCTGGATTGTAAGTTTTTTTGTTATTTTAATTTAATTTCTTATCTAAATTATTGTTATGCCAACTCACTTCACTGAAAACTTTGGACATCTCCCGCTACAACTTAGAAGGATCAATACGGCGTTGCATCGGCAAGCTTAGAGGAATGACTTATGACAAATCATTGAACAAAGCCCATAAAGAATTGGCTCCCGTGTCTAGCAGAGTGGCTTATGAATGGGCAAACGAGTCATAAAAGGAATAGAATTTGATTATATTAAAATCTCGGAGTTAGTAAGTGTCGTAACAAAGCTTTAAATACGCCAACCACCATGTTGTTTGTAAGTGTCCTAACAATATTGATTCTGCAGTATAACTAGAAATGATTTGACATTTATATGATCTAAATTGCGGTGCACTTAAGCATGCAAAGGTGAAACCCAAAAAGTAATCTGCTCATTCAAGATGAAGTTCATCCTCATCCATTTAATAAAATAAATTAACTACAGGTTATATAAATATAAGAATTTCAATAAGAAAAACATTACCTTTGAGTATCCTATATGAATATAAGGCCTTGTGAGATCAACTAGAATTTCTCCTTAAAATTGCAGTTTAGAGCATAGAAATCAAGTTTCCACTACATTCTCTTGAAACCCGTATAGAAAGATTAAAAGGGTGAATCTACTCCATCCAAGGATTAAGATAACTGAATAGTCAAGAGAAAACAAAATAATCAAAATCAAAGAAAATAAAATGTGTTGATGATTGATTGGGAATAAAGTTCCTTATCAGAGCAAATGAAATTTAAAAAGGAAGAGGGAAAAATGTTGGTTTGTGGAGAGTAGACAAATGAAGAAGCCAGTGTGTGGGAACAGTGGCATTTCCCACTCACGACAAAAACCTTATAACTAGTGTTGGTGTTACGTCCAAATTAATGTTAGTGTAATCCAACACGTGTCCTTGGCTTGGGATTTTGATGTAACATTTAGCCAATGTTTCCCTTTCCGAATTTTCTAACTGTAGCTTCATAGAATTTGTACGCTCAAAATCCATCCCAAGAATGACTTTCTGTATAATGAATGGGTTAATTGGGTATTCTTCAATGCTGCCAGCAGAGTCAAGATGTGCTTGCTCTGTCTCTTAACAGTTAATTATGTTGTGTAGCAAGATTTACTGTATACATTGCAAATAGGGTGGAAAGAAGCTTATATTTCAACATATTCTTTTAACGAACAAGATATTCATTCCTGTTTGAAAGGGGAAATAGTCCTTTCCAACGGTTGACCTTGCCGACTGATGACAACCACGATTGTCATCACCAACGACCATTGAATTTGAATCCCACTGGGAAGACAATAATGGGATAAGTGAGAAGAAAGAGAAGGTGGTGTTTTACTTTGTAATTGCACTTGGCTTCATAACAGGGTTTTGGGCATTTTTTGGAACTCTGTTATTGAAGAAGAATTGGAGGCATGCTTACTTCGGATATGTAGACAAGGTTGTAGATAAGATGTATGTAGCAGTACCGGTAAGGGTAGCAAGGCTACACTGAATAAAGAGAGAAGCTTTGATGAATCGTAAGATGACAATCAATGCTCCAGTTAAAATTAAGCTTATTCTGATATTGCCATTGCCTTATAGTTTGAGTTCCAAAATAAATTTATGCCTGGTTCAGAATATTTGTACTCTGATTGTTTCAGTTTAAATTCAGTGTCCTATAATTTTACTTGATAATGTCAGCACCAATATTTGAATAAACAAAAATATTTTAAGAACGAATACATTCTCTTAATCGGTTGAAAGTATATAAGGTTTCATAATTTGTGCTCCTTAGTAGTTATTCTACCACACGTAATTGCACTCGTCAAATTGAATTGTCCTCGTTGGTATTCGGATTCAGGACCGTTGACCCAAAAAGGAAAGTTGGTTTATTTTCAACAGCTCAGTGAGAGTTTGTAAAAAAAAATATTTTTTTTTCCTAAAAAAGCTCTTTTAAATATACACATAAATTCTTAAACAACGGTCTCATCAACAAGTATATGACAACCACCAAGTCTCAAGTCAGCTATAGCTAGGTCTAAATGTTTAAACTTTATTGTCTTTGTATAATTTTTAAAATGTAAATTCTTTGTAAGTGTCGACGCTTAAGTTTTCTACTACATGAATGACCACTGACGAGTAAAATACATCTGCAGCATATATAAATATCCCATATTTTCTCTATTCTACTCATGAAAACTGTCTTCTCCTTATTGGCCAAGAAAAATTTAATCTTTTGGCAAACATGAGAACGAACTCAAGTGTCCCGTTCCAAATGCTTTTATTGTTCATTATTGCACCTCTACAGTTGCGCATATGCGCAAAGAATAATGGTTCAACCTTTGGCTTCATAATACAAGAGCGACAAGCTCTTCAAACACTCAGAGAGTTTCACCGACGCTTATTCCAAGCTTATTTCTTGGCAAGGAAAGGATCACTGTTTGTGGAAAGGAGTAGGATGTGATGGTAACACCGGACACGTTGTCAAGCTTATTCTTCGACAAAACGAATGCCGATACCCATATGCAACTTTCCCCTTGGAATGCCCGTGTCCATTAGAAGCTGATGATGTGAACCCTTCTATACTTGAGTTGAAACACTTGAGCTATCTAGATTTGAGTGGAATCTGTTTTCGCTATGCCACAATACCAACATTTATTGGCTCCATGAAACAATTGACATATCTTAACCTCGCATACTGTGGATTCCAAGGCCAGGTTCCTCCTCATCTTGGTAATCTTTCAAACTTGCACACTCTTGACATTAGTCAAAGCATGTACTCTGTTATGATCAAATCTTTATACACTGATGATGTGGGTTGGCTTTCAAAACTTTCATCACTCAAACACCTTGCAATGAATGGAGTGTCCCTTTGGAAAGCAAATGATCTATTCCAGGTACTTGACATGCTACCTTTTTTGTTGCAAGTAGAGTTTCGTGCATGTGGACTCACCAACATGAAATTTCGTCCTACCGGTGCTAATTCTTCGTTTCTTACTACTGTTCATGTGCTGAATCTTGCCCAAAATTTTCTTTCTGGACCCATACCTGATGCTTTTGGAAACATGACTTCAATTAGAGACCTCGACCTTAGCGGAAATTTTCTTACTTCAGTTCCATATTGGTTGAACAATCTTCGTTCCCTTGTCTACCTAGACCTTTCTTTTAATTCCTTCAATAGAACTGAAGTGTCTTTGCTATCTATCTTGACAAACATGTGCTCTCTCAGATCATTAGAGTTGTCAGACTGCATGTTTGTTCCAGGAGGGTTGGAACTAGGTTATGCAAATTATTCAGGATGTAGGAGATATGGTTTAGAAGTTTTAGTGTTGAGGGGAAATAGAATTAAGGATAGTTTGCCAAGTTGGTTTGGACAAATGTGGAATTTGAAAACTCTTGATCTTGGATCAAATTTATTCTATGGTCCAATTCCATCATCCTTTGGAAATTTGCTGGCCTTGAAAAAGTTAGATCTTTCATATAATCACTTGAATGGGTCAATTCCAACTCCCCTTGGACGATTGTCTTCTTTAAGTGTTTTAGATCTTTCTAACAATCACTTGAATGGGAGGATTCCTGAAAGCCTTGGACAATTGGGGAATCAAATGACCTTAAGAGAAGTTAATAACTCTTTCACCGGTATCATATTTGATCACCTTGGGGAATCTAATTTGAAACGCCTTTATCTTGGAATGAATAAATTCGATGGTCCAATTCCGTTATCCTTTGGAAATTTGTTGGCCTTGAGAACATTAGATCTTTCAGGAAATCTTTTGGATGGCCCAATTCCAACTACTCTGGGAAGATTGTCTTCTTTAAGTGTATTAGAACTTTCAAACAATCAACTGAAAGGGAGCATTCCTGAAAGCCTTGGACTACTAGAGAATCTAACGATCTTAAGAGTGGCTAATAACTCTTTAACAGGTATAATAGCAGAGATACGCATTGGGCCACAATTTCCTCTACGGGTTCGAACACAAGAACAACTTACATTAGATCTTTCAAACAATCAAATTAGTGGACCTATTCCAAAATAATTTGGTCATCATAATCCGTACTTGCAGAAGCTAAATCTTCAAAATAATCGTCTTGAAGGTTCAATACCGGATTCTTTGTGCAAGATGGAGACACTGTTTGTTCTTGATCTTTCAGAAAACAGACTTTCTGGCAAAATTCCTGATTGTTGGAAAAATAAAAAATTCACAGTCTTTAATCTGGCCTCAAATAAACTAACAGGAACTATTCCAAACTCATTTGGGAATCTTTCAGGGGGATGGTTGAATTTGAGCAACAATAGTCTCAATGGAGAGCCTTTTGAAGCCTTGAAAAGCATGGAATGGTTGCAAAGTTTGGATCTTGGTCAGAATCAACTTTCAGGGAAGATACCTTCTTGGTGGGTAATGCAAACTTCTCATCTTCAAAATCTGAGATTGAGGAAGAATTTGTTCAGTGGTGATATTCCAACATCCATCTGCGAGCTATCTTATTTGAAAATCTTGGATCTTGCTGATAATAATTTTTCCGGTTCAATCCCCCCTTGCATTGATCATTTGAGTGGTATGGTGCAAAAGCCAACAGAAGATACAGCACCCATGGCAAGTCCACCAGCTGCACCACCCGTGGTAGGAAACGATCAAGAATTGGAAAAGGAGGGTCTCAAGCAAGTCTTGAAAGGATATGAACAAGATTACACAAAAAAATTGAAGTATTTGGTGAACATAGACTTGTCAAATAACAGTCTCACTGGATCAATCCCTGATGGCTTAACCTCTCTTTCTGGATTGATTGGCTTGAACCTAGCACATAATCATTTGTCAGGAAAAATCCCAAGCAAAATACAGCAAATGAAGTCACTAGAATCCATTGACTTTTCCAATAATAACCTTTATGGTCCTATCCCCACCAGCATGTCCAACATGGATAGTCTAGGCTTCTTAAACTTATCCAACAATAATTTCTCTGGTCCAATTCCAAGAAATGATCATTTCCTCACTTTTGATGAACCATCTTTTGTTGACAATCCTTATCTTTGTGGAGAACCCTTAAAGAATAAATGTTTTGGTGGTGATGAGGTACCTTCGAGCATGGCCCATGAAAACAACAGTGGGAACGGTGATAAGAAAGAAAAGGTACTGTTTTACTTTGTCACTGCACTTGGCTTCATAACAGGATTTTGGGCATTCTTTGGAACTCTTCTGTTGAAGAAGAATTGGAGGCATGCATACTTCCATTACATGGATGAGGTTGCGGATAAGATGTATGTAGCAACAATGGTAAGGGTAGCAAGGCTCCAAAGGTGATTATGGAGAACATACTTTGATGAATCATGGGATGACAATCAACGCATCTGTCAAATAAAACAAGTGTTTTACTCCCATTCTTTCAGATCGAATTCAATGTCCAATGGTGTTACTATGATCACTTCATTTTTATAATATGCTGCTTTTTTCCTCAGTTCATGGCATAATTAGTAGTCTTAACATGATTTCTGTCAGAAGATGCATTCATTTCCTTTTCAGTAGTCTTATTGAATTTTTGGATAGTGTATCGGAATAATGATGCCTTATGTGGTATTGTGAAAGTTTTATTCAGTAGTTGTTGTTTGTGCGTGTCCAATCGGATGCCTTATGAGTACTTGTAAGTTGTAACTAATAAATTTTGTAGATATTTATTCATATTTGTATCCAAATTCATTAAACATATATTTATAGATTTTATTTTATTTTCTTGTATTCCAAACATTGACAGGAGTTGAGAAAAGACTATATTTCAGATTTGTCTTGAGATTTTTTTTAATACTCAATTAAAATTCATAGTGTTTGATTCGAACTGAACATGTCCATCTGGTCCTTGGTTGGGTAATAAAAAAAAATTGCGGTGGATTTAATAATAATAATAATAATAGTGTTGTTCTTGAAAAGTATTGATTGAAAATTTATAAATAAATATTTTTATTAAAAACTATATGCAACTCAGTAACATTATTTATATCTTTTTCTACTTTTATGTTTTTAACTAGTATTTTCAAGATACTTGCTAATTTTTTTCCTTAGTGGTTAATTTTAACTTTTAAAAAATACATTGTGCACATGATATTCAAAGTTAGCAAATAATTACTGAATATACTTATACGATGTGAAAAAGATAGATCCACTAATCAATTAATTGTTGTAGAATAAAATTGGATATTAACTTTTCATATTTATAATATTTTTATTTGTTTTTTAAAGTGATGTTTGAATAAACAGTGTGCATTTTAATAAAAAATATATAGTGAGGAACGATATTTTGTTTTCCCCAGCGTTTTCTTTACGGCTTAAATTCCACACGTTAAAGTGAACGGGTTTTTCTTAAGTCTTCAGATTGGGTGTTTGTGGGTCTCTGAGTGTTCTTTGGGTAACTAACAGAATAGAAAGATAGTATTTATTTTATGTCTTTTTCTGTTCTTTTTTCCTCTGATGGTTCCTTTTCTGTTCGTAAACGCCCATCAAAGTCTAACGGAGAATTTTCTTTTGGATTGATTCCATTAACCTCGTCAACATTCTATTAACGTGAAAACTTAAATGAAAATTTACTGAAATCCTTCAATATTAAACTTTAATTTAATATCTCATCTAAATTATTTAGTTGCTTTAAAATTCTAGAGTTTCTTTATGTAATAAATGAAGAAAGGACTAAATGATATAAGTTATACTATTTTTACACTGTTAACAATATACTATTTTAATTATTTGTGTTAAAATTTATCAAAATAAAATAATTATAAAAAATATAATGTAATAATTTTTATTTTTATACATTTTTAAAAGCATATATTATATTAATTTTGATAAATATGAATAAGATATAAATAGTTTTAGATTAATCTATAATTTGTAAATTAATTTATATGTTTTAAATTTTTAATTTAACGGTTAATTTTAAATTTAAATAATTTAATCAAAAGTTAATAAATAATATAAAAATAAATATAACTTATATCGATATAATCTAATTACTTTTGATAATAAATTTTAATTTCAATTTTCATTTGTCTATTCAGAATGTGGAAAAATTAGCATTTACTTTTTAAGTCATCTAACGAAACAAAACTGATCTTTCTCTATCTTTAACTAAAGACATGGTTTGTCAGGTGAAATAGTAAGTTAACCAATAAAAATTTATAAATATTAAATATACGTGGTTAGAATTAGAGGAGCTAAAAATTAAATATAAATTAAAATATCTTTACCAAAAGTATAATTAAATCTAAAATTTAAATTTAATATAAATATAACAAAAAATTTTAACTAAAGAAATAAATTATATGAAAATTTGCAATCGAATGGTAATAAACCCATTTTACATATCTTTGAGTACCATCAGAAATTTAAGTTTAGTAAGTACATGCTGTTCGTGGAAAATTAATAGATCAAATAACTGGCACTCTTCGAAATTTGGAATATTAGTTTGAGTTTAATTTTGATATAAGATGAGAATAAAGCTTTTTATGTTGGACATTAATTAAATATATAATAGATATAAAATTTGAATTAATTATTTTTACTAATAAGATAATTTATGATTGAATGATAATTTTAAAAATTATATTATCAATTTATTTCAAATAAATTTTAATACTTTTATGTTTTATTTTAAATATCACTTAATATTAACAAAGTTTAATTTTGCTACATTATCAAAATGTAAGTATTTGTATATCGATACAACTAATTAGAAATTACTCTTGATATGACTTTTGAAAGTCAACGATTTTTAATCATATTATAATTATGATTTGATGATAATATGGATTTTTTACGTTATTAGTGTATATTAATTAAATTTATATTCATACATATATCATAAAAAATTAATTGCATTAGTTCTTATGATAAAATAAATTAATTTTACTAAATGTTGCAGTTAAAGTATTAAAGTATACTAACTAACTACTCGTACTTTATTACTTTACCATCTATTGGAATAGTAAGTTAATAAGAAATATTCCTAATTATTAAAAAAATAATGAAAGCTAGAGTTGATGAATCCTGTTATCCCCACACGCTATACATGACCATTAGAAACGTTATTGTGAGGCACAAAAATTAAAATTAAAATATTGGGTTTTAAGATTGTGATAAATTTAAATGTGTATAAACTTGAAAGCTTGAAAATTGATTCTTGAGTGTGCATATATAAGTGAAGTGAGAGGCATTATGCAAAAGCACCATTACCATTCTTAGTTACAAAACATGAGAAGTTACCTAAGTGCTGCATTTGCGGTACTTTTGCTGTTGGCTGAAATTATTGCACAAATTCAATTATGTTTGTGTGCAAATTCAACGGTCCCATGCATAGGAAAAGAGAGAGAGGCCCTTGTCAAATTCAAAGCCTCCCTCATCCAAGATCCTTCATCAAACAGGCTTTTCTCATGGAGAGGTGCTGATTGTTGCAAATGGGAGGGAATAGAGTGTGACAATGTGACCGGACATGTTCTCAAACTTGATCTCCGCCCTCCTTGTTTCCCACCATCTTCGCTGACAGAATATCAAATCTTCGTCGCTCCACAAGAGTGTGATTATGATGACACTTGGTACCACCTTTCCGTACGAGCTCCAAATGTTGATCCAAGTCTGTTGCAGTTGGAATACTTGACTTATTTGGACTTCAGTGGAAATGAATTCAGTAAGAGTCAAATACCAATGTTCTTCGGTTCTATGCAACGTCTCAGGTATCTTTCTCTCTCTCAATCAAATTTTGGTGGCAGGATTCCAAGCACCCTAGGGAATCTCAAGAACCTGCGCCTTCTTGATCTCAGTGGGAATGATGATTTAAAAGCCAATGACATCAATTGGGTCTCTAAACTTGAGTCATTGGAACACCTTGACATGAGCGGTGTTTATCTCGGGAACACACACAATTTGTTCCAGCTACTTAACAAACTTCCTTCCTTGTTACGTATTTACTTGAGTGATTGTAATATTCGCAATTCACTCGTTCCTCTTGTTAATCTCACTGAAGTTCAAGTCCTGGACCTTGGAGGAAATAAATTTACACTACCACTTCTCCATGCTTTCCAAAACATGACATCTCTTGTGCACCTTGATTTTTCATGGAATGGGTTAAATGGATCAATTCCTGATGCTTTCAGAAACATGACTTCCATTCAATTCCTTTACCTTTCTGAAAACAGTATCACTTCAATTCCGTCATGGTTTCGTAGCTTCAACAAGCTTGTGCATCTTGGTCTTTCATACAATGATATAACTTCAATTCCATCTTGGTTTCCCAACTTTGACAAACTTGTGTATCTTGATCTTTCAGTCAACAAGCTTATGGGCCCAATTCCTGATGCCTTCCAAAATATGCCCTCTGTTAAGTTCCTCGACCTTTCATGGAACCATTTCACTTCGGTCCCATCATGGTTTCATATATTTAAGAAACTTAAGTTTCTTGATATTTCATGCAATGGGCTTTATGATCGTTCTGGGAACATGTTACCAGACATTAGTAACCGAAGATTTCTTGATCGTTCATTGAATAGACTTCATGGTGAAAATGCCCATGCTTCCAGAAACATGTCATCACTTGTGTATCTTGATCTTTCCTGGAATTGGCTTCACAGTCCAATCCTTGACAATTTCAAAAATATGACTTCCATTCAATTCATTTACCTTGGTTACAACAATATTACTTCAATTCCGTCATGGTTCGGTGACTTTGACAAACTTTTGTATCTTGACCTTTCACACAACGGGCTTCAAGGTCCAATTCCTGATACCTTCCAAAATATGCCATCCATTAAGTTCCTCGACCTTTCATGGAACCATTTCACTTCGGTCCCATCATGGTTTCATATATTTAAGAAACTTAAGTTTCTTGATATTTCATGCAATGGGCTTTATGATCGTTCTGGGAACATGTTACCAGACATTAGTAACCGAAGATTTCTTGATCGTTCATTGAATAGACTTCATGGTGAAAATGCCCATGCTTCCAGAAACATGTCATCACTTGTGTATCTTGATCTTTCCTGGAATTGGCTTCACAGTCCAATCCTTGACAATTTAAAAAATATGACTTCCATTCAATTCATTTACCTTGGTTACAACAATATTACTTCAATTCCGTCATGGTTCGGTGACTTTGACAAACTCTTGTATCTTGAGCTTTCACACAATGGGCTTCAAGGTCCAATTCCTGATACCTTCCAAAATATGCCATCCATTAAGTTCCTCGACCTTTCATGGAACCATTTCACTTCGGTCCCATCATGGTTTCATATCTTTAAGAAACTTAAGGTTCTGGATCTTTCATG